TATTTAACGAAAGTACAAACATGAAAAATTCTTCAAATTAGATTTTACGAAATACAAGGACGACTTCTCCACAATGCTGCGAGCGATAATACTTCAAAATCTAAAATTCTTTCAAATATCCTTTTTGTAGGGGATTACAAGCAACCAGGATATGTCGTTTCTCAATATTCTCATAAATGCATGATCACAAATGGTGGCCACACGATGCTTTAGAGAATTGTAAGAGTGGGAATGTATGCTCCCATGTGGGACCCTGGGGTGTGACGATTCGCACGAGCGTACTGCCTTCCACGCAGGACCATCGCCGCGCGCGACACACACTGCCGCAGCTTTTGCCTAAGGGCCGCATGCACTAACCTCCCCGCGGGGAGGGGATCGCAGCTTAAAAGAAAGCTTTATATTTCGAAACTCCAGATACCTGGATGTCACGTTGTGTACCTATCCGTAAGTATTCCTACTACCCTTCACTATGAACATGTTGAAGAGGAGCGAAAAGCTGTACGAACCGCATTTTCCAGCTTTTGTATGATCCCTGATGATCCCCGGCGCTGTTCTTTAAAGTCATTTTTCTTTCTCCAAAGTTAACGAAAACCTTCCAAGGTTGTACTGAACATCTAACACACAACAGTGCTAAGCATGTTGCTGATAAGAACAAATGATGTTTTGAAGTCATGAAATTTTCGATGATCCACAGGTCGAAATTTGAGGCTTACCGAAAAATTCGGCTTTTCAAAAACTCATTTGTTTTTATCAGCAACATGCTTAGCACTGTTGTGTTAGATGTTCAGTACAGCTTTGGAAGCTTTTCGTTAACTTCGGAGAAAGAAAAATGACTTTAAAGAATAGCGCCGGGGATCATCAGGGATCATACAGAAGCTGGAAAATGCGGTTCGTACAGCTTCTCGCTCCTGTTCAACATGTTCATAGTGAAGGATAGTAGGGATACTTACGGATAGGTACACAAGGTGAAATCCAAGTATCTGGAGTTTCGAAATATGAAGCTTTCTTTTGAGCTGCGATCCCCACCCCGCGGTCATGTTAGTGCATGCGGCCCTTAGGCCCCGGGCAGACTTCACGCGATTTGATCGTCGCGACTGAATCGCGAGGAGACAACTGTTACAACATCATTCCATGCAGATCAACTTGCATTCGGTTGTGATACTTTTCCAGACCGAAATTTTTGAATGTGAAATGAAAATGAATGGAAATCTTGGCGATTTGGTCGCGACGATTAAGTCGCGTGAAGTCTGACCGGGGCCTTAGTATGTGTATGACTCGTGTAGCAATATTGTGGGATAAGTTCTGTTGTGAACTGGAGGGTGCAGAAATTTGTTGAGATAGGAATGCACTTGTTCAGTCCCATGAACTTTTGTACTCGGTTGATTTCATATGAAGTTTCTTGATTTGCCTTGCGTAAACACAACACAACACAGGGGACGAGTGGCGTAGTGGTATGAGGCGCCGCTATGACCAGATCGGACACAGGTTCGATCCCCGCCCCTGGGCCAACCAAGCCCTCTACCCTCCGGGGCTGGTAAATTGGTGCCAGAGCAATCTGGGAGGATAAAAGCACTGACTTGGAAACGGCTGGCTCCCGCAAGTCACTGTAATAGGCTCGCACGCATACAAATGCCTCTTCGACTACGAGGTTAGTGTGTGCGTTCGGCGCATGCCCTCAGAGGGTATTGAAGACGCCGAATTCTTTATCCTTTATCCTTTTAAACACAAGCTTTTTTCAACTTTTTGTTTTTGCACACAACTCGTGTCGGGCCCCGTTGCCGCTTCCTTGAACCAAAGTTTAAAATAGATCTTGTAGTATGAAAACGGAGCTGTAGGTACTATTTATTTGTGTAGTGAAAGAGCTCTGGTAGAAACCTCAGTATTTAACGAAAGTACAAACATGAAAAATTCTTCAAATTAGATTTTACGAAATACAAGGACGACTTCTCCACAATGCTGCGAGCGATAATACTTCAAAATCTAAAATTCTTTCAAATATCCTTTTTGTAGGGGATTACAAGCAACCAGGATATGTCGTTTCTCAATATTCTCATGAATGCATGATCACAAATGGTGGCCACACGATGCTTTAGAGAATTGTAAGAGTGGGAATGTATGCTCCCATGTGGGACCCTGGGGTGTGACGATTCGCACGAGCGTACTGCCTTCCACGCAGGACCATCGCCGCGCGCGACACACACTGCCGCAGCTTTTGCCTAAGGGCCGCATGCACTAACCTCCCCGCGGGGAGGGGATCGCAGCTTAAAAGAAAGCTTTATATTTCGAAACTCCAGATACCTGGATGTCACGTTGTGTACCTATCCGTAAGTATTCCTACTACCCTTCACTATGAACATGTTGAAGAGGAGCGAAAAGCTGTACGAACCGCATTTTCCAGCTTTTGTATGATCCCTGATGATCCCCGGCGCTGTTCTTTAAAGTCATTTTTCTTTCTCCAAAGTTAACGAAAACCTTCCAAGGTTGTACTGAACATCTAACACACAACAGTGCTAAGCATGTTGCTGATAAGAACAAATGATGTTTTGAAGTCATGAAATTTTCGATGATCCACAGGTCGAAATTTGAGGCTTACCGAAAAATTCGGCTTTTCAAAAACTCATTTGTTTTTATCAGCAACATGCTTAGCACTGTTGTGTTAGATGTTCAGTACAGCTTTGGAAGCTTTTCGTTAACTTCGGAGAAAGAAAAATGACTTTAAAGAATAGCGCCGGGGATCATCAGGGATCATACAGAAGCTGGAAAATGCGGTTCGTACAGCTTCTCGCTCCTGTTCAACATGTTCATAGTGAAGGATAGTAGGGATACTTACGGATAGGTACACAAGGTGAAATCCAAGTATCTGGAGTTTCGAAATATGAAGCTTTCTTTTGAGCTGCGATCCCCACCCCGCGGTCATGTTAGTGCATGCGGCCCTTAGGCCCCGGGCAGACTTCACGCGATTTGATCGTCGCGACTGAATCGCGAGGAGACAACTGTTACAACATCATTCCATGCAGATCAACTTGCATTCGGTTGTGATACTTTTCCAGACCGAAATTTTTGAATGTGAAATGAAAATGAATGGAAATCTTGGCGATTTGGTCGCGACGATTAAGTCGCGTGAAGTCTGACCGGGGCCTTAGTATGTGTATGACTCGTGTAGCAATATTGTGGGATAAGTTCTGTTGTGAACTGGAGGGTGCAGAAATTTGTTGAGATAGGAATGCACTTGTTCAGTCCCATGAACTTTTGTACTCGGTTGATTTCATATGAAGTTTCTTGATTTGCCTTGCGTAAACACAACACAACACAGGGGACGAGTGGCGTAGTGGTATGAGGCGCCGCTATGACCAGATCGGACACAGGTTCGATCCCCGCCCCTGGGCCAACCAAGCCCTCTACCCTCCGGGGCTGGTAAATTGGTGCCAGAGCAATCTGGGAGGATAAAAGCACTGACTTGGAAACGGCTGGCTCCCGCAAGTCACTGTAATAGGCTCGCACGCATACAAATGCCTCTTCGACTACGAAGTTAGTGTGTGCGTTCGGCGCATGCCCTCAGAGGGTATTGAAGACGCCGAATTCTTTATCCTTTATCCTTTTAAACACAAGCTTTTTTTCAACTTTTTGTTTTTGCACACAACTCGTGTCGGGCCCCGTTGCCGCTTCCTTGAACCAAAGTTTAAAATAGATCTTGTAGTATGAAAACGGAGCTGTAGGTACTATTTATTTGTGTAGTGAAAGAGCTCTGGTAGAAACCTCAGTATTTAACGAAAGTACAAACATGAAAAATTCTTCAAATTAGATTTTACGAAATACAAGGACGACTTCTCCACAATGCTGCGAGCGATAATACTTCAAAATCTAAAATTCTTTCAAATATCCTTTTTGTAGGGGATTACAAGCAACCAGGATATGTCGTTTCTCAATATTCTCATAAATGCATGATCACAAATGGTGGCCACACGCTGCTTTAGAGAATTTCAAGAGTGGGAATGTATGCTCCCATGTGGGACCCTGGGGTGTGACGATTCGCATGAGCGTACTGCCTTCCACGCAGGACCATCGCCGCGCGCGACACACACTGCCGCAGCTTTTGCCTAAGGGCCGCATGCACTAACCTCCCCGCGGGGAGGGGATCGCAGCTTAAAAGAAAGCTTTATATTTCGAAACTCCAGATACCTGGATGTCACGTTGTGTACCTATCCGTAAGTATTCCTACTACCCTTCACTATGAACATGTTGAAGAGGAGCGAAAAGCTGTACGAACCGCATTTTCCAGCTTTTGTATGATCCCTGATGATCCCCGGCGCTGTTCTTTAAAGTCATTTTTCTTTCTCCAAAGTTAACGAAAACCTTCCAAGGTTGTACTGAACATCTAACACACAACAGTGCTAAGCATGTTGCTGATAAGAACAAATGATGTTTTGAAGTCATGAAATTTTCGATGATCCACAGGTCGAAATTTGAGGCTTACCGAAAAATTCGGCTTTTCAAAAACTCATTTGTTTTTATCAGCAACATGCTTAGCACTGTTGTGTTAGATGTTCAGTACAGCTTTGGAAGCTTTTCGTTAACTTCGGAGAAAGAAAAATGACTTTAAAGAATAGCGCCGGGGATCATCAGGGATCATACAGAAGCTGGAAAATGCGGTTCGTACAGCTTCTCGCTCCTCTTCAACATGTTCATAGTGAAGGGTAGTAGGAATACTTACGGATAGGTACACAACGTGAAATCCAGGTATCTGGAGTTTCGAAATATAAAGCTTTCTTTTAAGCTGCGATCCCCTCCCCGCGGGGAGGTTAGTGCATGCGACCCTAAGCAAAACAGGGGAGAGGGAAGATTTGCGACGTGCATTACATGTTAAGACAGGTCAAAATCAGGGAGACTCTGGAGACCGCCCGTGCGAAAACGTCTCCCGGGACCCTGCATCTGGTTTTCTGTTAATGCTTTGATTGAAACTTTCAAATATTCATTGAAACATGTCAAGAAAAAGTAACTAATCATGCACCGCAACTACTTAACGGATCGGCACAGATGGCCTTATTTATGGCTGGAATCAAGCTTGCCAGATTGTCGTAGTCAGCAGAAAATGTGAATTCACTTCCGTAGCTAAGTTGGCTGAGTCGAGCAACATCGAGGTTTTTTCCCATTGCCACCACGATCACCTAAATATTGAGAAAGATAGAAAAGAACAAAGCTTTGTATTTGTACGTAACCTTTAATTCAACTTGATTGGTGGCTGGAAGGCGAGGCTTCGTGACCTAATTAAGGCCGCTCGCGCCCGGGACGCAGTTGGCGTCTCTCTCGCGCTCGTGCTCTCTGATCATTGTCTAGCTTTAACTAGGACACGAAGCCCCGCCCTCCAGACACAGATGAATCAAAGGGTAAGGGAGTGTTCACCTTGCTATTGTCCGTAGTATGTATAGTATGTGCAAACTCTTTAGCTTCATAGAAATCTTGATCATTGCTAAAACAATACGATTAGGTGTTATTTTGAAGGAAGTTTTGAAGAATTTTCATAGTAATCACAACGAGAGGGAAAGGAGGGGGAAAGTAAAATGCCCAAATTCAACAAAAATTACTGACTTTGGATCCTGCGGTACAAATGCGATGACAACTTTGCTTATGCCATTTCGCTCTTTGTCTTCACCCGTATCGAAGCTGACGGCTCCTTGAGCGTATTTGAAAACACTAAAATGGATTTCTAGCTCCCTTGAAAGGCGTGGCAGTACGCAAAAGGGGGGCGTGGTGGAAGGCACAGCCACAAAAACTGATCACCAAATTTGTTAGAGGTCGTTACGATTTGGGATTTTACCTCGTAATGTCGGTGTTGTTATTCTGACTAACGTCTGGAACATCTTCAGTCATGCCAAGAATAGCCTGCGTGAGTTTTTGATTATCTGCCAAATCATCTGTAGTCCAGACTACAGCATAATCGGCATCGATCTGAAATTCGTTTTATGTGGCAGAATTTGTGTCTAGACGCCAATACTTTGGTAAAAGATAAACAGATTAGAATCACAAAAATTGCAGGAGACTCAATGAAAACACTTACAATGAGGTTGATGACAACGCGAATTTTGTCTGGAGCAACGGTCCAGGTTGGAGTAAGAACATTAGCGACAAAGTTCAGCTGCTGTAATCATTTTTACAGATGGTGACCTCACTCCTCCTACTTTCCTTACCTTCACGAAGTTGTCTTGAGAACCAACGGTTGACAGCCCGCTCAACATCAGTATTATATCGCGATTACATGGTGTTGCAGCTAAAGAGATTTTTTTGCCCTATTGAGAAAATATAATTTCAAAATGTAGTTTAGTAAAAAATAATGCATTACGATAATCCCACAACACAGTCGGACTTAAGCAGGTACATAAATGTGAACTATAAACAAAGAGTAATGTCTTTAGCTCATTTTCTTTGTATCTAAAGTACTTCCTTAGAATTCTTTGTCACTATGCTAATTTTTTTTCAAGGTGACTCAGTTAAACTATGAATTCCAAGTCTTTTTTTTCTATAGAATGCCTCCGATCATTACCTCCCATCTCACCTATTTCGATTTCAAAGTTTCTTATAATGTGCCGGATTTTCCCTTATTCTTTATTTTTGCTGCCCTTTTCTCATTTATTTCAACTTCAAAAAGTCATTTTCTTCACTAATGCTCGAAAATGGTCAAACGTTCTACTAGGTGTTTTAGGTCAAAGCTTCCTACCATATGAAAACCGCTCTAGCTACTCTCGATAGTTAAAATTCGAAATTAACAATAATAATAATAGTATAATTGATCAAAAATTTCTATTGTCATGGTATCAGGTATGGTATCAGAAACCACATCTCCTCACCATCGGTAACTCTTATTATTAGCACTTAAGGGACGCTACCTAACTTAGCTTGGCCTTTTGGCAAGGGGTATATATGTTCTGAATCAGCTTTGAACGCTGATTCCAAATATGTTTTTCCTAGCTGCCGCGCACCATTCCGAAGCGAGTTATGGACTTTTTCCAGCGCAAATTTGGCATATTACTGACCATGGGAAAACTGTCTGTAGATAAAAATCTGCAAAAAGAACGTGCTGAGGCATCGAAATAACACAAATCCAATCTTCTCTCGCTAAAAAGAGACTCAACTCAAGTGTATTAGCACTTAGGTGATGATGCCGTGATGCCAGTGTGTCGATGACTATGCTAATTTTGCGAAGGAAAAAGACCATAACTCGCCTTGAAATGGTGCGCGGCAGCTAGGAATAGCATATTTGGAATCAGTGTTTGAAGCTGATTCAGAATATATATGTCACTTGCCAGAAGGACGAGCTAAGTTAGGTAGCATTCATTATTAGTTAAAAACCCACTGTACACTGAGTCGTATCGGCATTCAAATCCACTTTGCTGAATAATTTTATCGGATTGAAATGTAACAAGGGCGTTTCGTTGCGTGGTTCTATAGATCCCATCAGGAGTTAGGATTGATGCTCCTGGGCCACCAAATCTACAGCCATAAGGTAATTTACATGGTTATTTACTGGCCAAGATAAGCTTACTGCACAAGTTTGGGGCTCTTTATTCCATTTCCATCGTAAATTGTCACGTAATCGCAGCATGTTTCCAAATCGTAATGGGTGAAGTTGAAGCTAAAAAAAGTAATTATAAAGTCAAAGTTATTTCAGGAAAGCGCGGTTTACCTAAGGACTTTTCCTGGTGCAGCTGTCATGTAATAGTAGCATTCAGTACTTGGTGGATAGGAATCCGGATAAAGCGGCGATGTAATTATACCTTCGTAGTAGAAATCATTATTTGAAGGACATCCAGTGTAGCCAAATTTGCCAGAGTTGACAGCATGCTGAAGAAGTACCAGATATGTTGCTTTAGCGGTTAATATAGTGTTCCTGCTTTGACCACAAGACTTGCATGTAAGAAATGACACCTAAGGATAGCTATACGTAGAACTGAAAATTTCCCAGATTTTTGGTGCAAAATAATCGAATAAATACTTTGTTGATAAAGGCATTGTGTAAACTCACCTCACTGATTTTATAACCTCGTCCTCCTTTAGCTAAAATGAAATGCACTAAAGTGAGAATCAGAAAAAGTCTGAACATCGTAAGAAGAGCTGGAAAGGCGTTATCGCAAAGTTTTGAAAATTTATGGCCGCTCTCTGAACGGTGATAGTGGCACAGCGGATAGCCAAAGTCATTTTTAGAAATATGCATTTTTTCAAAATAGACCTTATCTCGTTCGAAAACAGCAGGAATTGCTTGATCAATTCTAGATTCATTTTATGGATATTTAGATAGTAAACCATTTGAGATAGGCATAAGTGATTCATTTGCTGGCCCAGAAGTTTGGAATTTCACATTAACCCACGTCCAACTATGTCCGAGCGGGTCAATCGTAATTTATGAGTAAGGTGAAGGATACGATCTGGGTTTGGTACGATCTGGGTTTGTGTTCCCTGAATTCCCTAAACATGAATGATTAAGTTGAGTTGCCGTTTTGTAAATAACTTAACTATCGCCTTCCCGTTAATTTTAAATAAGAATCCCAGGCGCAACAATCTCTCTAGAGACGCTTCCAGTTTTTGGATTTGTGCATTAGCAGATATGCCTAATTTTTAAGGAAGCAGGACGGGGCAGAGTAGGGATAGATGTTGCGTTTGTAATCACAAAGTAGTGACTCTAGATCAACCTTTTTATTTTCAGGCTCTTCTTAATGTTGTGAAATATTATCGTCTACTCTCCTTGGCAGCTTGACTCTGCATAGCAAATCGACTCACAGTACTCCAACAAGCACTAAACACACCACAAAAACCGTTCAAATGTTCATTAAGTGCATCAGAACACATACACAAGCATAAATGGCAAGAAACATCAAATCAGCTTGTGTACATCATTTCCGGTGTGTATGTCAGTATGTTGCCTTGAAATTGACGATGAACTTCGTCGAAGAGATCCGTCCACATTCGATCAATAAGATGTCGTACATTATGTCCTCCAACACATGATGATAATGCTCCACATTGGAGGGCCTAAAAAATCAAATTCTAGTGAAGAAAACGGGGTGGTGGTGGGGGGGGGGGGGGGGGGGAAGGGAAGGTACTGTACCTTTTCCGCCACGACAACGTTGATGTAAGCGTACTGCCATGGGTTCATCACTGCTCTGGCGCGTTTCTCTCGGAGTCTTTCGACCACACCCTAAAGTCTGCTCTTTTCTTTTTGTTAGATCGTGCCAGCGCCGTGCCAGGGCTGTGCCAGTGCTGCGCACAATAACAGACCACGTGAGCCCACTGGCCGAGCCCGTACTGATCGATAGACGCAGCACGGAGCTGGAACGGCACTGGAACGGCGCCGACAAGAGCAAGTATGCAGCTGTGAAGCTGTCGTGTGGAAAGCCCTCTACCTTGATGTTGACAGTATTGTTCTGGTAAAGTTGTCTCAGCGCCACATCGAGCGCAATGAAAACCCCAGTACGACCCAACCCTGCATGGCAGTGAACTAGGAGAGGTGACGTGGACGATGGGAGCTCCTGAAATTCTGAGGGAATCAAAGGCCTCCCAACGGATGAGATTTCCCTTACAAACTTACTCTTTCAACTATGTCAATGATCCTCATTGCTGTAGTGGCATATGAAGCTGTAGTCAATGGCCATGGTATTGGAAGACATCCATCAGGCCATCTGAAGGTACCCAGAGGTTGGTTAGTAGTAGGTTGTAGGGTAACTTGATTCGACAAACCTGTAGTAGCACATATGGACAATCTCTCTGTCAGGTTCGGGATCTCCGATAGGATTCGAGTAAGAGATTCTTAGCTGCGTCACTCGATACACCATGTCATTGGGAGCCACAGCTCGTAACCCCGGCGCAATCTATAAAAACCAAAATTACTTGAAAGGAACACTATCCTGCCCGGATGGACAGCAGGTAGAAGTACGGTAGCATACCGCGCTGTAGCTCTTCCACCGTATAGTGGCTGATTGGTGGAATTGCGATTCCGCGTTGCCCGTGCCAGCGCCGTACGAGTTGCCCGTGCCAGCACCGTTTCAGTGCCGTTCTGGCACGGTGTTAACACGGCACTAGAACGACGCTGACACGGCGCGGGGAACATGGGCAACTTTGGACTGCTTGACTACTCAGTGCATCCCAACTACGTTGGCCGTTCTAAGCACTCCTTGAACCACAGTGAGGTCCCGACTTGACTGAGACTTGCAGTATGACTACCGTACAACTCCTACCCTACTTACCATCATCCTTGTATCCACACACGTGATCTTGAAGGGCATATACGCGACTGTTTTGCCAATCTCAAGCGGCCAGTATTGTATAGTCTCCTTGCTTGGATCATAAATCGCAGGATAGAGGCGTTCTTCATGTGGAAAGTTGAGAGATAGAATTCGCTCTACGTTTTCCTAAAAATTGGATGTCTCTTTTTGTAGTAGAGTGAAGATGAGCGTACCTGCCAGACCATACACCAAAAATCGAACACGCTGCTCATTGTCGGTCCTTCGCTGGCTAGATATTCCGTTTGGAATAATGGACCGATACGTTGTGCATTGATCTGAAGTTCAGTCAGTTTAAAGACATTGAAAGGGCAACAAGGCAGACTATACTTCGCCCGCTTGGTTTTCACCCGCGCGGACTACGGACAGCTGCATTAATCAATACAGATTTGCGCGTATAAACGCGTTCCACCCAAGTGTGGGGGCGGCGAAATGTTGCCGCGCGACGTCGCAAGCGAAGCTTTTGCCCGCGCATGAGGGGAAGGTCTGCATTTCTTATCGCGCATGGGGCAGAATCGGTTGTGACTTTCTTCAGCTTAGTTCTTGTCCTCACTTTCAACTGCCTATTAGTGTTTCCTCCCAATGGCGTAGCAATGAACGGATTTCCTTTGCCGGTCTGAGTTTCCCATGCGCTTGGACCACCATCCAACGAGAAGAACTCTTCACAAAGTCCACCGTAAGCATTTTCTATAGAGAACCGCGTCAAAAACCATCGATCTACCTGAAACAAGTGCATCTTGGTATGTACGAGTACAAAAGGCTGCGTCCAAAGTTGCGTGTGCCAAACAGCGCCGTAACTCAATCGATCAACGGCGCGACACGGCATCGGAACTGCGTTGGCACGCAGCCGGCACGCAGGCAACTCTGAACGCTGCAAGAGAGGTTGACTGCTTCACCTTCATGTCTTGTGATGGCGTTTTGCCACCAACATCATTGACAACATGCTTGGTACGAATCTCCTTCTCGCGTTCTCGAACACACCGAATCAGCCTGTTCTCATGAAATCCCCCCATTCTGGAAATGGTAGAGCATCGTTGGCTTGGATACAGAAGACTTCTTGTCCAACAGCACCGTTGATTCTTTCTGAACACGTCGGTCATGTAGCAGACTTCGCTTGATATGAATGATCCAGCAAGTCGCTAGCTCATAAATATGCGTACTAAAATGAGACTAACCTACTCGTTGAGTTGTATATATAGTGTGAGAGCACGATATCTAGTCGTAGATAATGCTTATCGTAAGCATTTCTTGCATTCTGCCAAACATCTCGGCCGTTCTCGTGCCATTTGTATAATCTGTTGCCCAGCTAAAAGTTGAAAAATTGGAGTTGTCTTACTTCAGCTCTAGGTATCATCGGCTCCACGATTCGTGTAGAGGCGGGGTTTTGCCAACTCAAAGCGTGGCGGTTTTTGATAGCGAGATAGTACACAAAACAATGCTTTGACGTGGAGGTTTAGCAAGTTTACCTGTGTTATCAGGCAAAGTCTGCAATACACCTCTACACGAATTGTGGGGACGATCATACAATTCGGCAGGCCACAACGTTATTGATCAGACAGTTTTAATTACGGTAAGTACATGGTAGCACTACGAACACGTCTTGTGTATGAATATCAACTAGCATGTGAAGGAAAGAGCCTTGACAAAGCTTTCAGGCGAACAGTCATTTATGCTTATTAGAATTTACAGAAAAAAGGCTTTGCTGGTGGAGAAATATACTTTTGGCCGAAACGGATGCGGCATCGACATGCTAAACGTGCGCGTTCCACGCAGGCCTGACGTGACGCGTCCATGCGTGCCTCAACTCATTTGGACTTCCATGATTAGACTTCATATATTCAGAAGCTGTTAATAGTTCTGATTGGGTATATAGATTTGCACATTATAATCAGAGTTGAACAAAAGGTCAGGCAAAGTCGTTCTGAAACGACCCCCCCCCCCCCTTCAAGCGAAGCCCCCAAACCCCCTCTGAATCCTCTCCACCTCCGGAACCTCAGAGTGTGACACTCTGGAAAACGAGTCTGCCCTGCATTTTTGAATTTTAGGAGACTGTATGATTGCTTTTTTGTGATGGCACATTACAAGTACACGAACTTTGACGGCGGATTTTGATGTCGCCCTACTGAACGAGCCAGAGTTTCCCCAGCGGTGGAGTGTTTTGCCTCCAAATTTTTACTGAGGCAAGAAGAGGTTATGTGCCCAATACTCATACCAGGAATGGATTGATTTTTGAATTTTGAAGACAAGTTAAGTGGGTCAGGCGCAAGGCTACAAAAGCTCAGGCGGCCTGACCTTTTGAGGGGTTGCGCCTGACCCCATTGACTTTATCAACGAAGACGCTTTTTCATCCAAGTTTTATGAAATTCGCTAGCACATACCTCGAACATTCTACAGTAGGTGTTTGAGATTAGCTCGACTTGTTTCGGCTATGTAGTAATCCGCGGAGTTGACGCGCTCACGTTGAAAAACGCGATGTTTGGAATATTGGCAGTATTTCCTAATCCACTATTTGTAAGCGACATGAATTCTAATTTCTAGTATAGACTAATAGGGAACATTACTTTGTTATGAGTATAAAAAAGCTGACTTCTTTTGCTTTTGAAACCAAGTTAATCATGTTTGAATTGCAGGCTTTTGAGACGATAGAAAACGCTGAAAAATTTAATAAATAATGGTCTGTGGTACTAGAAGAGGTGATTTTATATGCTAATTGCGGAAACTATACTCAATTTACATAGCAAGCTTCTTTGGTGACCTTAGTAGTGTCAAGTAAGGGCTGGAGAATTAAAATTTGGCTGAAACTTCGATGGAGTCAATCAATATGCTGGTCACGATAGTCATTCCTTCAGTTCTATTGGAGTTGTGATATGCATCGGTCTAAGACTTTTCTTCTTCACCTTACTCGATCGTAGTATTTCCTTACTTTTGAGCAAATTCGATTCTTGATTACGACCCCCCCCCCCACTCAGTCTTACGGGAGACGGTCAAGAGGCGCGATTTCTTTGGCTGTCACCAACTTAAAACTCTAGTTTAGTGCTGTGCGAGTCTTCAGAAATTACCAGATAAACTGCGTTAGCTTACTATCTGTCTGAAGTCACCACCTGCTGAGTTTCATGGTTTTTGCTATGAATCGGACTGAAATATTTACGAATTCGCTCTGAAATGCATTTCATGAGTTTTTGACCTTCAAAATTGCTGTTTTGAATTTTTTCTAGAGTATCAAGATTGACTAGCTCATGCCACTACTTAATATATCTTTTTCCAAATTTCGTATACTTTTAGAGAGAAACCATTATCCGTCGGAATCCGGCGCTGACCTTAGCTACAGTATATTGCTAACGCGACCATAATGGCGACCCAGTTGCCTCTTATCTTTCCTTTGGCTATGAATCTTACTTAATACATACAAATCTTACTTACCACATCATTAGGTGATCCTGAAACTATCATTTGTCTTGTTTACTCTCTGATCTTGCTACGGTACTGAAAATTCTCCTCATGTTGGATACTCACTCAAAATACCATAACGTGCAGATTCTAAGGAACTGATGTTTCTTTAGGATATCTCATGGGATTTATCATTATCGAGTTATCCCCATAACTCTTCGCCAGAATTTAAAAGGGCTTTATTTGATGAAGTTAGAAGAACCTCTGTTTCTCAAAACGTGTACATTGTTCAGGGAGATGAAATCATCCCTACCAGTGACAGTCTTGTTTTGAAATTCTTAACAACAAAAAGATTTCGGAAGTGATACTTCTACGTCATCCATCAACATCAGTTGTTAGCAAACTCAGGTCCCCATTCATTACTTGAATGTGGATAGCGAAATGATTGGTTATATATACGACCCAGAGGATAAACAACACATCATATCAAATGCAGGACCACTTTATCATGTGGTAAGTAAGATCAATGAAAAAGTAAGAGGCAGCCAGGTCGCCTTTTGTGGTTGCGTTAGCTGTATACTGTAGCTAAGGTCAGCGCCGGATTCCGACGGATAATGGTTTCTCTTTTAGAGAGTTGCAAAACACTTATTATGTGTTATGTGTCCGGCTGGCAATAAAAATCGCGCCTCTTGACATACACCCCAGTCTTACCACCAATACGACCTCTCAGGTCGGGCGCGCCTGACCTCACGCTCAACCCTGATTATAATACTCTCATTCGGGCATTCTTTTACGAATGTGAGCGAATCATTGTTCAAAAAATCGAAGCGGAAGTAACTTTTTTTTATGTGGTGTCCATTTCGAAGTAATAAAAATAGTTTTCAAAAAAATGCTGTGTACATACTTACCTCGGAAAAAATTTTTCTTTCTGTGGGCATCCTCTTGACCATTTCTTGATTTTTGCGCTTTTCTAGGATGTAGTCCTTTTGTAGCGGAATTGAGTGGAAGCTTATGTGGGGCGTGAATTGTACATTCGGAGTCATTTGGTTGAATGGATAGCGGACTCGTCTAGTGTGTGGATGCAGCGTGGTTCGATTCCTCACTGATGCCAGTTTTCGAACCGCACTTGTCGTTACAAGTGGGGTGTCAGACTAGGCAAAGAGAGGAATGTATTTGGCAGAGCGCTGTAATGTTCTTCATTGCTGCGTCTTTATCAATATACGACATTTTAGGAAAATTAAGTAAGAGGAAAGTCTACCTCGGAAAAGTTACGACGCTAAACTGTAAATTTGATAGCATTAAAATTTGTCAACATTTCGGGTGTTTTTTTTTGGAGACCCAATGTCCCAGTTCTAAACATTTTCTATTTCTTTGGACACCTAAATTTTTTTTCTGTAAAATATGCTGATTTTTTCAAACATAAATGCTGGGCTTATATCAGCCTATATATAAAAAAATTTGGCTGCTCATAGCAGATAGGAGTTCAGAAAAATTAAGGGTGATGAGATTGCCACGGCAATATCTCTCCTTGGAAATCGGATTTGTTCTGAGTCTCAAAAAATGATGCCATTTGAGGTACATATGTGGACAATTCCATGATAAACGTAGCTAAATATATTTTTTTTTCTAAAAAACGTTCAAAGCGCTCGAGATCTAGCCAACAAAATGAGGATCAAATTCTGGAAAGAGCCCTTGTTGAAGACTTTCAAAATTTAGTAAATAAGGCTGAAAGAAAGTTTGAGCTGCGCAAAAAAGAACTGTAAGAATTGCTTCAATAAAGAAAAACGATGGAGAACAGTCTTTGTAAATATAAGCGCTTTGATCATGCATTAATCCTGCATCAATTGAATAATTGCGTAAATGCATCATTGATTGACTCGCTTGATTTCATCTATTCTGACGTGTTCTAACGAAGGCAAAGCTATAATGCTTATCTTCTCTATATGGACGTAAGCGCATTATTGGTCTTTTTCAGCAGAAATTGATAAGTTTACGGAGGTGATCAATGTGGAATGATTTTCAGATTTTTTCTACTTTCCGTTGTGGCAAGCCAAAATCTGGATTGAAATCTGTATTAACCACGTGCTCCTTTTTCCGCACCGTGTGGACATTGCGCAGTGATCTCCGATCGATGCGGCAAATTTGAACGCTTGCGCGGTGCGCCCGCGAACGCGGCACTGGGCATTGAAAGGAGCACATCGTTGATGCAGACTGTACAGGTTGCTTAGCGCTATAACAGCCCGTTCTAGCAGCCATTGACTCTTTTATAATACAAATTCTAGGACTTTTTGTATTTTTTCTGGAATACCTGAACGATAACGTAAGGTAGAATAATGAACATATTACTTGACTCAAAGAACAGTACTTTATGCTTTCATCGGTCGATCTGATTTCTTGCACTATGCTCCCTGAATTATCCCTAAAATCACAATTACACGCGTCCAAGCAGGGGCACAGGTTCGCGAAGTTCTGAGTAGTTGGATGGCGCGCCATATGTGACGCGTAAGGCAAGGGACATATCGTCTGCGCCCCAGAAAGGTTCCCATAGGTACCACGTCATCTCGCTGCCTTTCGCACTTTTGAACGTGTTAACCTTGGGCATTTCCGTTGAAATCTCAGGAGAAACGTGTAAAGAGCGAAAGGCAGCGTCGCACCACGTACGCACGCTGGTTCACATGGGAACCTCTCTGGGGTGCAGACGGTACCTCACGCGATTTCAGTCGCCACGCGATCTGGCAATTTGCCAGATATCTTCAAATTCAATACTGGTAGACCCCAAATGCACAGCATGCATAGCTTTCGTAGGTTGATAAAATGCCCCGCCTTCCGTACATTCAGAAACCCCGTACGATGAGTTATGAACATTTGGAGTATTGCCAAATCGCGTGGCGACTGGAAGCGCGTGAGGTATGCGCGAGGCCTAACAGGAGTGACGTTCCTTTTCTCAAAATGTTGACTGACAATTGCAAGCAGCTCCATGTTTGAAAAATTTAAAGTCGTATACAGTTGCGTAGTTTTTCCGCTCAATATAGTGTACTTGCAGTGTAGGTAAAATGCGGTGAAATTTGCGCGTGAGGAAATAGCTACGCTTGACACGCCTTCCAGTTACGCGCGCACAATGCCGGCATTACTGACGTGGCTAAATCTTTACGCGCAAATTTTACCACATTTCACCTACAGTGCAAGCACACTATATTAAACGGAAAATCTACTCGACCGTACCTACCATAAACCCAAAGGAAAAGCATCAGTACGCCAAATATCCACGGCTACTCGCGCACCGCGTGAAAGCTGGGATTAGACGTATTATTCTCGTCGTAGGTGGACATTAAGTCATACGTATGAAAATGCACAAACTCTAAGAGCACTTTACGCTTCCAAGTGTTAGACAAGTTAAAAGCGAATGGTGCAACTGCACTAAGTGGCTTGCGATTTTAGACATCTACGAACCCTGTTCACGAGAAGAACTTTGCATGTAGATACATCTCTCTCTATGTTTCTTTCCAGTAACCAAACAGGCTTGAAAATTGTTGTGCTATGCAGAGCCTAAGCAATTTCTTTCGCCGACTACATCTCTCATGCAAAATATCGCGGAAGTGTAAAGGTTTAAAGGACCGAAGCGTTGCTGCGCTCTACGGCCAAGTGACTACGGTAAAGATACACGTAAACGCTCCCAGATCAATTGCTTCCACAGTTTCTGGATGTTTTTGATTCTTTTGCTGAGCTTCCTGGTGCATCATAGCATTATAGTTCAAGGGTGTATTTGTGTGATCTGTTTGGATAACTTTCAGTCTTTTATTGTGATCGCATAGAGGATGATTATTACACTGTTCTCTCTGGATTTTAATTCTTATGTATAGTCATATTTGCATCTGTCATCATCTATTTCTTTATTGCAGGGTACAAAATGCTTATTTATGGGCTGTTGTTGACGTTGCTGGCCTCCACAGCATCCGGTTACTATATTAACATCGATGCAAATGAGGAGCAATGTTTTTTTGATCGAGTCATCTCAGCAACAAAAATTGGTTTGATGTTTGAAGTGGCAGAAGGAGGATTTCTCGACATCGATGTGAAGGTGAATCCTTTCCTTTCAATTTTAGATCATCATCTGTGCTTTTTTCTCTCCCCTTTTTGATTTGCGTCCCACTTATCCATGTTGTTTTCGTTCCAATGATGCAGTCATTTGTATGTTTTCAGATAACCGGCCCAGACAACAAAATAATCTACAAAGGAGAACGAGAATCCTCTGGCAAATATACATTTGCGGCACACATGGATGGCGTATATACTTACTGTTTTGGGAACAAAATGAGTACGATGACGCCCAAGGTACCCGTTACATGCTTCGAAATTTTGAGAATGAGTCCCAAAGTACTGCTTTGAGCAGCATTATTCAATCTTGACTTATTTATTATTTATTTGATTTGAGAAAAGCGCTAAACTTAGCGAAAGTGCTGGCTCAAACTTCACTTTTTATCGTTTGGAAATGGAATACATATCTCTTTGTCAATTTTTTGGAAGCAGGTCGACAATTATGCCCTAATTTTTTTTGAATCATAGGCTGTAATGTTCACCATCGAGATCGTCGAACCTCAACAACAACAACAACAAGGCGCTGCTCAGAATCAGGACGCAGGTAAGATATTGTGAGAAGTGTTTAAGACATGTAGTATTGTTTTCTTCTACATAATATACATGGAAATAATTAACTTTGCAACAATTTACCAAGATTATTTTTCGTGTATGTTCTCTAAAGTATATTCCAGTGTTTTATACAGATATACCAGGCTTGTCAATCGTTATTTTTAGCCGACAATCAGAAACTTGAAGAAATGGTCCGTGAACTGTCCACTGCACTTATGTCAGTCAAACACGAGCAAGAGTACATGGAAGTCCGAGAACGGGTTCATCGATCGAGTAAGTTTATTTATTGATTTGTGTTTCAATGCATCGGTAATTGAATCCTTTGCTTTTCGTTTCTCACCAAACAATTTTGCCGTCTCACAGTAGATCTCATAGGTTTCGTGCGCACCCTTTAGCTTTTGATGTTCAATTTCTGAAGCACAGAATAAGATTGCACATTTGCGTAAATTCTCCGTCTATGTCAATGATTTTTGCGCTGGACCGGATGCCGCCAACTGTTTTTTGCGTCGCATAAGGTTGTGGTCGTGATACCACCATTTTTCTAGAAAAAATTGCAAAAAAAATATTCTCAAGAAGAAAAAATAACAGAAAAAGACTAAACCGTTCGCGTCTGCGCACCTTGCCATTCCGAAACAGTGGGTGAGATTCACGGTCTTATATCCTACTATTTTGCCACTCTTGAGTTCTAAATTCTGGTTTTAGGTATTAGATTTGCATCATACCCGTGGTAGGTGGAAACTCTAAGCATCAACAGTCTCTCTCCACACCTACCAAGTTTTCTTCGTAATTCTGAGTATATGGAAATGTACGTATCTGGAATAGGTGGTGTCAGCTGGCGCGATTTTTTGCTTGCAAGAAAAAAAATGGGGATACTAGTGCATTATGCATCTTTCTACCAAAAAGCAGTAAATGAATAGAACAAAAACGCACTGCAAGTCCACTGTGAGATCTGTCTTCGCTTCTAAGTTGTGGCACATTGCAATTTAATATCATGCATTTTGATTCTCTCTTTGATTTGTCAGACCACAACATCATTTAATTTTTTTTACAGTTAACGAGAATACTAACAGCCGTGTTGTGCTGTGGGCTGTGTTTGAAGCACTTGTTCTTGTCTCTATGACAGTTGGACAAATATGGTATTTGAAACGATTCTTCGAAGTGCGTACTGTTGTCTAAATGAACAAATGCAAGTGTTAGACAAGCGCAAGGTAGGCTCCATAGTAGGCAGTTTGACAAACTTCACCTCAGCGATTATTGGAACCTGCACGTGCCAATCATTTCTCCGAGTTTCTTCAGCTTTTGTCCACTTCTCGTCTTCCTTCGAGTATTTATTTTTCGGTTTACCGAAATCGTTGCCTTATTTGATGTAATAGTGTGTTTATGCACTCATGTGTAGAGATATATTGGCTCTCGCAAATTTTTTTTCTCATGGTTGCCGTCTCTTAAAATCACTAAATTACGTTTTTGCTTCTTGGGTTCTTTTCGGTATGTATCAGAATGTCTAATTAAGATATGATTTTTGTTTGAAGTACGAGTTCTGTATATTTATCGTTACTGTGATGTTACAGTGTAATATTGTTCCTGTTGAAGTAAATTTTATCTCGGTATGGTGTCGATAATGTATAGGCGATTAGTCCTACGCAGAGATGGGACGCACTTGCGAAAGCTGTCGGCGTCTCTGATTATGCGCGCTCTCATTCCTCTGCAAGTCTGCTGCCTCTTCTAAGTCCGAACTGCCTTGATCTGGCGCAAGAGCGTCAAATCTCTGCCTGCGACGACTTGCTTAAAAAATTTATCAGTCTACTGGGCATGCACATGCTGTACTAGTTCTGATCTTCAACATGGAACCGAAGAAAAGAAGATGATGTTGGAAGATAGCTGCGAAAGGAATAGCGAGTTTCGTTTTGGTCCTGCTCAACCCAGATTATAAACTCTGAAATTTGGAGAATGATGTTTAACTCTTTGTCATCAATTGAAGAACTCACCTGGATTCTAAAGATGCGTAAATTGCATGCCAACAATTTTTTTTATAAGTAGACATTTCTAAAAAACGCAGGAATCGCATGAGATCATCACGCATCCTACTATGCGGAGCGCTAGCCCTCTCCTCACCGGTGATTCAATGGGCATAGGACCTCTCTATTTGCAGCACATATCATCCTTTTGATCAAGACATGCACCGTGAAAATGCTGTGTACTTAGGAATTGGAGTGTCAGAAAGGCCCAGGAAAGGAGGAGCACAATTTGGGAAACTAGAGGGCTTCCAAAGGTAACGATAAACTTCGTCTGGGAAAATACAACGGCACTTTCAGCCAAAGTTGGGAGTGGTGTGATTGAACATGATTCGCTGTGTCGAATTGGATTTCATATTAAGCAAATACCCTATCCGCGCTGCGGAATATAGCTCTCAAAACGAGAAAATCGCTACGGAAGGACGCGCTAAGGGTTATTTCAGTATGAAGGCGCAAAAGCAGCATTAGTTGAGCGGGCGCGAACGCGCGCACGCGTATTCTCACCTTGTCCCTGCGCTTCACGTGCTCTGCGGCTAATAAAGCACGTTCGCGCACAAAAAAGATAGGGGCTAGAGAATGAGCGTCGCAGGTGCGAGCGCTCGCCTGCTAGCCGCCAATCCCGTTAAATCAAAGGGTACGTCATGTGGCCCCGCCCCATGAGGTGGTACTGCCCCTCCCACGCAAGGGTTGAACGGTGGCAAACACAGTGAAGATGTTGTGTGCGTGTCGCTTTTGCATACAAACGGAAATTCTGTTGCATGCGACCAGATTAGCGCTAAGCTCTCGCTAACGCTTGAATCTCGCGTGGACGAGTTTCAAGCCTTCAACCATTTTATCAAGTGATCATATTCATATCGATGTGTGGATACAAATAGACAGCTATCTAAAAGGAGACTACAATTCAAATTTTTTGTACTATTTACTAAATAAAACAGCAAAGCAGACTTGCAGGAAAAGTGGGTAAAAACTTTACAAATTCATATGTCAAAAACCATATGAAATAGTACTCGGCATTTCGAAATCTTGTTCCTGTGAATTTTCCGTTTTTTTTTGCAAATATTTCAATTTTTTGATCGAGCATTGCAATAACGGTATTGTCAGAAGCAAAATCGACAGCTACTATTTTTTTTCTGTGAAATACGTCTAAGAATTTTATCTGCTCAGAAAATCTTGCTTGAAGAAAATGCAAACGCTTCTCATATACGTTTGCAGGGATTTATCTGGAGCTTACTCGTAATCGTCGAAGTTTTATGAGTGGTTCTCTTAAGCATGCAAATATTTGAAATGAAAAATCTAGCATCAAACGAGTTAAAAGCTCATCAGTTAAATCAGTTTCTTATTTCACTTCACCATCTCAGATAAAACACCGGAACTTCCGCAGGAGAAGGCAAATTTGCAGAAGTTCCGCAGGATTTTGTTCACTATTTCAAGAATGAAAACATCGAAAATAGGAACTTCCGCGGGACTTTCATGCCAAACTGGTTGAAAACAGGAACTTCCGCAGAACCTTCTTCAAAACCCTGCGAAAATTCCGAAAAATGCCAGAGGTTCCGCAGCACTTTGGCCTGCAGAACTTCCGCAGGACTTTGAATGTGTTGTCTCGTGATGTTGCCTCGCCAACAAATATAGTCCATTATCGAACATGTTATTCGTAGTGCAGAGGATAGAAGGTGAGTCTCACAGTCAATATAGTAAGGTTCAAATCTCGCTTCGGTGTTCTCTTTTGCGTTGGTTCGCATTCTTCGGAACTTCCTTAGGATCTCATTTCGGAACTTCCGCAGCACGCTTACGGAACTTGCGCAGGTGGCCCGGCGGAATCCGCAAGCGTTCTGTGGAAGTTCCGGTCATTTGTCTGAGGGGAGCCTATTGACGGAAGCTAGCAGGTAATTTTGCCGCCATAGCCATATTTGATTTTTTCGACTTTAGCTGCTCCTTCATGCCGTTGAAAACAATAATTTCCTTGCAATTTTTTGCACTTTTAAGGGGGGAGGGGGAAGGGGTTCGATAACATATCACACCTTGCCGTATGACCTGTCCTCAGGCGGCGGTCATACACATACACCGACCCTAACCACCAAATGTTTATCGTAACTGACACCTCATCGCCGGTGTAGCATCCCCCCGTGTCGCAGACAATGACCGATCGTCGATTGCAGTTGGTTGTACTGGCATTTATCACCTTCGCTATTTTCTCCGAGGCAGTTTCAAATCTTAAAACTCGTCTTAATCGTCCAGCTTTCGAATTTTTCTCAAAAACTGCACATCATGTGGTAAGTTATGTGTTAATTTTGAAATTTCTTTGCAAGTTAGCGGTATCGAATGATTTCAGATTGACGTTGAAGTGCCGAAGATCTCACTGCCAGATATCACGCTCGATATTCATGCTGGACCCGGCAAAGGCACTGTCTCAGCCTATGACTTGAAAATTAACAAATTTCAGTCTCCATTGTAAGTTAACTAGTTTTTCATGACAAAATTTTCGAATAAAATTATCGATGCTATTTTTGAGAGCAAACAAATTTTTTTCATTTTTGAGAGCTGCTCCAACTATTGATGAGTTCCTGTTTACATTGTGACTTCTTCATCGTCTCCGCAAATAATGCACTTTTTTCCTTGTGTATTTCTAACATTTGACTCTCACAATCAGACATCTTTATGTTTAGAATCTAAGGTTTCTGTGCGAATGCGACAATTTCCATCAAATGCGTTGGCAAATCTAAACATTTAAAGCTTATTTTCGTAAGATAGCCACCGAGATCAAGAAGTGCGACTTTTGTGCCTGTCTATAATCCAAAACTCCTTTGAACCCCAATCCCATGACTGAAAATTTTGGATTTTATAATGTCCGTTTTGGACGCGAAAACTAAATTTCTCGCTTTTCGCACTCAAAAGTAACCAAGACAATTTGGATCATTGCTATTTGGATATCATTTGTCAGATGTGCAAATCTACCAAATCAACAAAATGGCTTGCATTTTTTCAAAAATTTTATGATTTATTGGGGTTGTAGAATTGATGCGAGTTTTCATGAGTGCTTTTTCACAAAAACAGCTCTCCCTTGTCTCTGCTTCTTGTGATTAACTTCGTAAGCTATGGCTCTTTTCTTCCTCCCAAACAAGTGTTTGTCTGCGATGCTAGATCCACCTATATAGTTTTTACAGGCTTTTCAATAAAAAGTTTTGAATTGAGAATTTTTTTATTGCACTACTCTGTCCTTAGCTCTCGCCAAAAAAAAGCATTCAGAAATTTTAGTAAGGGATAATTTCCAAAGGGCTCTATAAATGCTCAGTTCAGCTTCCGCCTTGCGATACTGGGGCAGAATATTGTGGTTCATAGAAGTAATCGGGGGCATTATGTGGCCTACGAAATTCTTGTAATTTGAGAAATCATTGGTGTTTCTATTGTCCCTGTAAGAGCAAGCCAGACAGTCAGAAACTACCTGCTTGTCAACCACTTAGATTTCACCATAAAGCAATAAAGGTTCTAAATTATGCGATTACCCCAGCGAAAGGCCAATTTTGAATTTTCCTATTTTGTGAAGGAATCTTGATATCTGTGCATCTATTAGGTTGTTTCAAAAGTAAACTCCTTTCTCAAATAATTGAAGCTGTTTTTGTTTTCTCAGTAAAATTAGGATATCATTCGATAGAGCAGATCAAGCTCTACAAAATAAATACGAAAGATCCACCTAAGCCGCGGTCCGTGGGAAGTTTGAAGCCAAAATCGGAAAGAATTTTTCACCTGAAAATTGATTTCTGCGATAAAGAATCCTACAGACCTCCAACTTGGTCATTATATAGTAGGCACATAGCATACTCAAATATGTCTTTACCGAATTTTTTCTAAGCATAGAAAGCGAAAAACAAAAATTATCCAGAAATGGCAAACTCCGCCCCCAGCACCTCCCCATATGTCATTGTATACTACAAGCCTTACTAAGTATAATACTTTAATCAAACCTCTATGTGTGATCTTATAAACGAGAAACACCAAGTTTTACATGAAAATCTCGAAAAAAGCAGCATTTTAGCATTTTTGGACCATCTTTGTTTCTCAATTTTGAGCCCCGGAAAAAATCCTCCGAACACATTTTTGAGTATTAAGATATGTCTACTATATAAAGACCAAGTTTCAAGTCCGTAGGAATTCTCTGGAAGGAGATCCGATTTTCAGGGTAGCTGAAAAATCTTGATTTTTGGCCCCAAATTTTTTCTGGATTATGACTTAGGTGGTCTTTGGTGGTCTTTTTGTAGAGCTTGCTCCGGTCTATCGAATTGCACCTTAAGTCAGTTAGGATAAGAGAACAGCTCAATTTATCTGAAAATGGAGTTTACTTTCGGGACAACATAATATAAAGTGCGGTTCATAATTATACGAACACCCAAAATTTTGCAAGTTTTTGGACTTTTTGGGAGAAACACAAAGAGCCGTTGGTACCACGCGATAGAACACAGCCGAAAACGGTATATGATCCATAAGGATGGGAATCGATATCAACTGTAGGAGTGTTTTTGCGGCTAATGCGAATTTTTAACGGTTCATAATTATACGAACACCTCAAACAAAGGTCCATTTTTCATTCAGGATTGCAATCGTTTAAGTCCAAATTTTTTGAAGAGTTACAGTAACAAAGTCTGACATATCTGCTACACACTGAACCCAGTGCAGCTCAAAAAGAGGACCGTTACTTTTTTCAGAAGGTCAAAATGCTTTTGGAGTGATTGGGCTCTAGAAACATCCGTTCATCTGTAGTTTACGCGCCCTAATTAGCTTCTATCAAAGCTCTGAGATGAAATAAGCTCTTGCGATAGGTATTTTGTTTAACGCTTGGAAAATCTTTGCGTTTTCGTGCCGTTTCTCAACCAAGTTCCAACCTTACCACAGAGTTAGCACGATTTCGAGCCTCAAAACTCAGCTTCTGAAGCCGTACAATGAAGTAAGCATATAGTATGTAGAAGTTTACAAGACTTTATATTTGGCTAGAAAAAATCAGCAGCGTTCAGCGTTTGTTTTGGTCACGCAGACGTTATTTCACCAGAAATACTGTTTTTACTATTGCAATCACACCTTTATTTGGTTTGTAGCTCCACAGCAGCAAGATCAGTTTTAGAAAAAACCCAAAAACTTTGGTACAGAAATATCATCATGCAAGCAATGCAGCTGCTTCATATCAAATGTTTGCGCAAGAGAAAAGCTGAGTTTTGAGGCTCGAAATTGTGCTAACTCTGTGCTAAGGTTGGAACTTGGTTGAAAAACGGCACGAAAACGCAAAGGTTTTTCAAGCGTCACGCAAAATACCCATCGAAAGAGCTTATTCTATCTCATAGCTTTGGTAGAAGCTAATTAGGACGCGTAAACTACAGATGAACGGATATTTCTGGAGCCCAATCACTCCAAAAGCATTTAGAGCCTTCTGAAAAAAGTAACGGTCCGCGTTTTGAACTGCACTGGGTTCAGTGTGTAGCAGATATGTCAGACTTTGTTACTGTAACTCTTCAAAAAATTTGGACTTAAACGATTGCAATCCTGAATGAAAAATGGACCTTTGTTTGAGGTGTTCGTATAATTATGAACCGCTAAAAATTCGCATTAGCCGCAAAAACACTCCTACAGTTGACATCGATTCCCATTCTTATGGATCATATATCGTTTTCGGCTGTGTTCTATCGCGTGGTACCAACGGCGTTTTGAGTTTCTCTCAAAAAGTCCGAAAGCTTACAAAATTTTGGGTGTTCGTATAATTATGAACCGCACTTTATATTAGGTCGTTCCGAAAGTAATGTCGCTTTTTTTAAAAGAACCCCACGTCTCGTGGAACAAAGATGAGGAAGAGGTTCTGGTAGCGTTTGATGCAGCATTTCATTCTCTTTCTAACGATTATATAATCACTGCACAAAATACAATAACCTCTCGAAAAATTATATCTGCGACCTATGCTTTTTGAGAAGGCCAAGTTTCACAATTTTTCTAAATTTTCATAACAATTCTCTGAAGGAGTCCAAGTAATGGATGGATAAGGCAAAGCCTACAGGAAACAGCACAACTTTTTTCTACTTTCCAGATCTCGTCATAGTTTTTGTATAGATTTTTTGATGGAACCACCGAATTTTGGCAGGCTCGTCTCAGACACAAATGGTTTAACACTAATTTTACAAACAAGTGAGCATTCACCGCTTCAGATTAGCAACCTTCTAAAATTCGGGTTACTGCCTGGGGCGCCTTGGAAAACCTGAATTATGATGTTTTTTCCCGGAAAACTTTTAGAATCGGAAACCAAAAACAGCTGGCAAAAAAGAGGAGAAAAAGCTGCGTCGAATGACATCATCCGAGTTGCTTGCCGGTTGTTGTTCTGTGAGGTTCGAGTTGACCAAATATGGAATTTGATATCATTGGAAAATTGGTTCCAGAAACTCTAAGAAGCAAGCTAAGCAAAAGAAAATATTACTTTGCGTCCTATAGGGTTTGCTCTATCTAGCAGTTGCTTGAACTTCTTCGGAGAATAGGTACAAAAATTTAGAAAAGTAGCCGAACTTGACCATGGCAAAAAGTATGAATCGCAGATTTTGGTAATTTTTCGAGAGCTCATTAGATATTATGCAATATGTTTGTGCTTCGAAAGAGGATAAAATGCTGCATCGAATGCTCCTAAAATCTCTTGAAAATCTTGATTCCATGAAATGTGGTGTTCATTTGAAAAAAGCGACATCACTTTCGGAACGACCTAATATATGCTAACGTTATGAATACACGATGAGAAATTTTTCAGCTACTTATATCTTCAAAAAATTGTAGTCCGTCAAAGTAGGCGTTTTGGAAGATATAACCTGCTTGGAAAAGAGGTTTTATTGCAGATTTGAGTTCGTCCTGACTGATGAAGGAATAGCATGGACATCACGACAAGGCACAGTCAAACTAAAAGGCAGATGGCAGGCTGAATACACAATTTTGCTTCCGGTTAGCAAAACTTGAATGTTTTTTTTTACTTCTCGATATGTCTTACATCAAAACAAGGCATAGTTAGGACTAGCTTTCTAGGCGCGGCATTTTTTTTGAGAATACGGTGCGTCAGCTACGGGAAAAGAATTACTTCTGGTAAAGAAGTATCCAGAGCCAAGTGGCCCATGCAGAAACATATTTGAATAGGGGTGAATTCAATTTTAAAGGGAAGAAACGAACATATCCACCTATTTGAACATAGCCTAGCCTTTTCTAATATCGATGCTTCCTCGGTTATTTGTCGAATTTAACGTCAAATCAGGGCTCGGCACGAGCTGGCACCAGGAAGAATCTCAAACGAAGTCCCCTTTGAATTCGCAAAAGTACTCAGATAATCGCCGGGGGCAGGCGGTCCGCAAACTCGCGCTTTTCTGCAAGCGGTCAGCAGAATTTTGGGGCGTGGCCAAACCTTCAGCGGGCGGCACTTCCTTTACGGTCGCATATTCTGCCAGCGGGCAGCAATACAACATTTTTTGCAAGCGCTCGGCAAATAATTTCTTTCAGCGAGCGCTGGTCAAACTTTCAGCAAGCGCTCGGACTCTTTTTAGGGATTTTCGGGCGTACGTCGAGCGCAGGTAAGACTCTGTGTGGCAGAAGTGTCACCGTTGGTTTAATTACTCAAGTTTGAGGTACTTTCTCTCAGCGGAAAGTACCTGGGGGTTGAGCGGTCCTCCACAAAGGACCGTGCGGCCCTCGAAATTTTTGCATATTCTCGCGGAAAGTCCGCGAGAATGCGGCCACTGCGCCGCAGCTAATCCATAAAGAAATCGCGACTGTTTTTCAAGCATTCGTCTTTAATTCCGCCAACTTTCTTCCAAATTTCTGCAAGCGGGCCGCAAAAAATCAACAAACTATTTTTCCGGTGCGCGCTTGCTCAAAATTCGCATGGCCGCCTGCCCCCGGCGGTTATCTGAGTAGTACGAAGTACCTTTTGACCCTTTTGCCCCTCTTTTCTGTACACTTGGCTTTTTGTTCCTTCATTCTGGATGGGACTGTGGCCCAACCCGAAATAAAGCGAAAAAGCCGAAAATAAATTGAAAAACCTACGGCTCCCCTCTTTCACTCTCCATTTTCCTACCTCTCCACCTCGCCCTCTCCAACCCTCTCTGCAGGGGGGACAAACAAAAAATAAAAAATGACAAAAAAGACAGAAAAAAGGATAATAAAGGAAAAGGACAGAGAGCGCACAGCGAAAATGAAGGATTCGCGCGTCAGTTCACAAGGGCGCGCTTTGCGATTGGAGCAGAGCTTCGATAAAGATTTTTTGAGGACTGTAAAAAAGCCTGAAGGAATATTATGAAACCGTTTTTTCTCTGTATGACAACATCTACAATGAAGATCCTATTTATGTAAAAAATTATGAAAACTTATGTGATCAAAGGGTCGGTGCCAGCTGGCACGGTGCCAGCTAATTCGGAAAAAAGTTCAGCACAGCTCTCATTCACATAAGTTTTCATAGATTTTGGGGTCATAGTTCGGGTCCCTCAACGCGCATACACGCACCAAATTTGGTGTCATATGATTGCGTTTTGTTTGTAAACAAGGCTTTTCTTTGTCCTGGGCAGGATTCGAATTTCAGCGCTGTGTTAGAACCGGCATGTCGGCGGAATACCGATGGCATGCCGTTGACATGCGGGTAGCATACTGCCTGCATGCTAACAAACAGCGGTATAAACACTAAACATGCCGCTGGCATGCCGGCGGCTTTCAGGCAGCGTGTCGGCGGCGTGTCCCTGGCATTCTAGCAAACGGCAGCATGCTAACCCGCAAAAACGATATCTTTTCTGCTTTCAGCCCAAAAACGATATCGAGCTTGACCCGGTGCCAGCTATGCTGAGCCCTGCGTCAAATAGTCGCTTTATTTATTTATTTGTACATAGGGATGCCCCTATGAAAAAGAAAACAAACAAACAACAAAAAAAAACAGTCAACTCCACAGCACCTAATCAAAAAAAGGTGTTAGTGTGTTTTCAGGTAGCCTCTCAAAACTTTTTTGTACATTGCGAGTTTAGCCACGAACATTCTCTTCCTCAAAAGTATATCTACATCATGTGCCACTCGGCACGTGAAAAAGTGTCTTCTGACATCTCGCCTAACCTTTGGTAACACAAGCTTTCTAAGTCCACCTCTAGTATTCGAGGATCTAGTCACAAAAAAGTTACTCAAATCAAGCTTGTATGTTCCAAATATAATTCTGAGCACCGTGATAAGATCGAATTTCTTTTTTCTATAAGCAAGACTTGAGAGCTCAAGATTTGCATTATGGACTTGACTGCATGGCATTTGATCATAATTGAAACCAACCGTCCTAATCAGTAACTTTCTTGTGAAACTATTTTGTACTTTCTCCAAGTAGTTGATTGCCTTTTGGGTATGTGGACTATAAATGACGGTACCATATTCTAACATTGGTCTAATAAAGGTCTTGTAAGCCTTCAAAAGAATATTAGGATCTGTACATGACAATCCTCTGTACAAATTGTAAATTGCCACCGTAGCCTTGTCTGCAATTACTTTACAATGCTCATCAAACAAAAGACTACTTGTGACCAGAAACCCCAAGTCTCTAATTGAGTCAACAGCTGCAAGTGGGCTACTTCCTAAACTGTAGGGGTGGTCTTATATTGCTGGAACCTAAGTGCAGTATTTTTGTTTTTTCTTTTGAAATAGGCAGACCCCATACTAGTGACCAATCAAGCACCTCATCCAATGCATCTTGTAATTGTTTACGTCCAACGTCATCATTTACAGCATTGTAGAGCTTGGCATCATCCGCGAATGCGCTGCAAGAAACTCCTTTAGATAATGGTATGCGCAAAAGCTCATGAGTAAAGATGTTGAAGAGAATAGGCGATAGAACACCCCCCTGTGGAACCCCACACTGCATACTTCTAGGGGAAGAAAACGTGCGATTGACATGGACCATGAACGTCCTCTCACCCAAGAAAGCTTCAGTCCAAACTACAATCCGTGGATGTATTCCTACGGCTATAAGTTTGGAAATCAACTTACTGTGAGGGACTTTGTCAAATGCTTTCGTAAAATCTAAATAAATCATGTCAATACTCTGACCCTTATCTAATTGTATTGTCCAATCGTTGACAGCTTGTAGCATAGCGGTAACAGCAGATTTACCGCTTTGAAACCCGTGCTGCTCACTCGCTATTACCTCATAAGTCTCTAAATGCTTTACAATATGCCTTTTCAATATTTTCTCAAATAGTCTAGCGAAAATAGACGTTATGCTAACTGTTCGATAGTTTTCTGAACTAGTAAGAGGCTTTTTCTTAGGAATAGGTCTGACAAAAGACACACGACAGCGATCCGGAATTTCTGCGCGCATCATGCTCAAACTGAAAATGTACTGAAGTGGCCCACTCAGTATATCTGCTATTGATTTGATAAAACGTAATTGTACGAAATCAGGTGTGATTGAAGTTGACTTAGGCCCCTTCATCAGTGTTTGATAGATGTCTTCACTTCTGAACCATACTCCCTCAGTCATACTTTGGTAACTTGGAGCACTTTCAATTTCACTTTCATCGTTCTCTTCAACAAATGTTTTAGCGAAATAGTTTGCAAAATATTCCGCTTTATCTCTATCATTGCATATAACTTCCCCACTATCTCTCTGCAAAACCCTCAGCTCTCTTCTACCTTTGAGTCTCGAATTGATCAGTTTATAAAACGCTGATCTCTCTCCAGATTCAACTACTCTTCTCTCAACAGAAATATTATATTTTTTAAGCAGTTTGGTAAATTTGTTATTCAATCTACAAAATTTGTCATAGTCTCTAGTATTTTTACTAGTAGCTGCCAGCTTCCATGCTTGTTCCCTCATTTAATAAAATTTTTGAAGGTAATGAGGTATTTTCACACTCCGGAAAGAACTCTCTGCCAAGGGATCTCAATAGTATGATGAAGTATATTGAGAAAAATTTCATGCATTTCATTGACTGTGGAAACAGTTCTGAATGAACCGTACCAGTCTACGCCACTAAGATGCTGTCTCACTCCATCTAGATCTATATTTTTGAAATCCCTATACAAAACATGCCCCGCATCTTGTGATTTATAAGGATTCATCCGAAAATAAACTGAAGCATGATCACTTTTCCCAATGGGGGGAGGGTCCACACTTATATACCTCAACACATCCTCATCATTTGTGAAAATGAGGTTCAATACGTGTTGGCCAAGCGTATGTGACCCCATTTTCTGAGCTAAACAGTGAAGCATACATATTTGAATGAAGTCCTTAGCAGCGAGTGAAACATCTTTCGATTTGGAGGGGTCTGCCCAATTCACATTTGGAAAGTTGAAGTCTCCCATGAGAATGGTGCTTTTGGAACAAGACAATGAGTCTGTAAGGGCACTTATCAATTGTTCGGTGCCAGCGACAAGAGGGTGCACGGTAGACCTAAATCAATGTTAAACTAGCATGGGAGATAACATCACAACATAGTAATTCATAACTTTCCAGTACAGACTCTCTAAACACAAGAAATGAATCAAACTTCTTATTTACAGCCAAGAGGACCCCTCCTCCTCTCTTACCTATGCGATCGCATCTGTACAATTCATAGTCCTTGATCAAGTTGCCAAAAAGAGAGCTATTTAGCACAGTATCATTTAACCAAGTTTGAGTAATTGCCGCAGTGGATGTGTCGCAATTCTCCATGACAAACTTAAGGTAATCTATGTTACTGCAAAGAGAACGTGCATTGGCTAATATACAATTTGAGAGGCTACCCCCAATCCGAAGAATCAATCGACGTTTAAAGAATCTGATCTCGGCGTGCTACGATCAACTTGCTGAGACAAAGCATTTTGATCAATACAATTGACGTCATTTGTTAGTATCGATTGATGATTTGAAATCCTTGTGTTGAACTGCATGCTCCTCTCCTTACGCATCCTGTCTCTCTCTCTTCCTTTGGAAGAGATGGACGGATAAAGATATTTGGTTTGTAAGGGAAGTATTTTAATTTAGGAGCTCTTTTCAACACAAGGTCAACATAGTAGGCAACACCACTTTCATTAGTCTGTTATTCGTTTGGGGTTTTCCCATTCTATAAACTGTCAACGGCCTACACTTAATTGAAAGAAAATCGAGAATTTGATCAACACATTGATAATCATGATTAATTCTCATCCAGTTATGCGGTGCACGATTTTCTGGTACGTTACTAATCACTAGAGAATGCAGTCTTTCGCGCTCATCACAAGTGCAGAGTTTTGCAGACGTCGAAGTAGAAGAGATTTGGGTGGCTGATTCGGGCTCCGTAGACGTGCGCTCAATAAGTGATCTCAATTGATAGTTTTCTTTGCGAAGAGATTCGATTTCGTCAGACATATTTTTTATCTGACAAACCAACTCACGATTTTGCTCCGCTGCAACCTCGCACAACTTCTGATTCTCCGATAAAAAGGCAAGAATTGTCCGTGCATAGACTGGTACCGTTTCGTCCTTCAGTAGTTCCTCGGCTGCCTGGTCGAACTTGGGCGGCGTCGCTTCGAACTCGATCCTTCGCTTTTTCTGCCTCTCTTAGGGAGCGAGCGGGTATATTGGGGTCTCAGAAGTCATTAGCATCGAATAATAGTCGAACAGGAAAAGGGAAATCTTCTGAAGTCGAAAAGGCGGCTGAGGTAGGTGACGGGGGCAGAGCGGGCACACGATCGACCGCTCATGCCGGGTCAATGGGAGCTTTACTTGTTGTTTTCCAATGTTGGGTTTGGAGCAAGATCTACCCTACCGAAATACCTACCATTAGGCTAATGTTGAACGTCAGATCGTACAAATACCGTACCGCAGATGAAGACTGCTGTAGTCTTGAACATGTCTCAGCACGCTACATAATACGCTACATAATACGCTCTTTTCCTTCATAACTAGTCGTCAGTCTCGGATGAGGGAACTTTTGTATAAAAAAGTCATGCCCTAGGGTCCTGCACGTCTGTCAACTGGGTCCAAATTGTTACTTAACATTCTACTTCTAAAGAAGACATTGATTTGATTGATCAAAAACCTCAGGTAAAAGCTTCCGGATGGATGAATGTGTTAGCCTCAGATATTCAAATGAACGTTTCCGCCAAAGCGATAGCCTTTGATGATCGACCTCAAATCGAAGTCGGAGAGTGCGAAGCAAACGTTGGAAATTTTGATCTTGAGTGGGTTGAGAATCATCATGTCCCGTAGAGAGAATTTCTTATTTAGGATTGGAGGCGGTGTTCTGCCTTGGTTGGTTAATCTATTCCGAGCTGATGTATCGCGTGCAGTTCAAAAAACTATTCATGAACAGGTAACTACTGTATTATTAGTGTTTACTGTGAAAAAAAAACATTTTTTTAGGCCTGTGAGGCTGCCCAGTCCATTCTGCTTACCAATTTTAACAATTTTCTTCTTTCCTTGCCTCTGCACCTACCAGTTGGTCAAGATTTTTATGTCGACTACGCTGTAGAGAAAAATCCAAATTTTACGAGGTGTGATTATTGATACGTTTGGAAGATTTGTGTCATTTGTCATCATAAGTGCAAATGAAAAAATTGACGAACCATGGATATATGAGTAACAACAGCTTCTTCATTAGTATAGGTATTTTCCTTATGTGAGGGGAAGGGCGGAGAAGAGGAAAAACTGGGAGGGGGGGGGGGAGAAGAAGGGCAAAATTGCGGTGCCAGTGAACCAGTAATTAAAGGAGCTAGATTGCATCCGCACGCTTCGGGAACCGCACCTCTATTTGATGTTTGAATTCCCGTCATCCTTCCATACCCATTTGCAAACAAAGCATCGTACTTCTCAAAGTATATACTATCACAGCACAACAAAAAGGAGTTTAGTACGAAATGTACCAAAACGCTAGATGTATACTGACGGTATTTTATTATTCTCTTCAGCAAATATGTCGAAGCTGAAGCTGCCGCCGAGATATTATACGAAGATCACTCGTGTCATCCAGAAAGAATTGAAGGATGGACAGATATGATTTTTCAAAATTATTAGAAAATATGCATAGGCTGGTGGCTTAGGCCTAAGGCCTAAGGCATACCTTGCGCGATTCCGGTCGCTACGCGATTTGGCACAATAGCGACTCTTCGTTATTCGTTGTTGATGCGCTGCCTTTGGTCAGAACTTGATGCCTTTGCAACAACTTACACAAGCTACCCAAATATGCGTTCGAGAAGCACGCACGATAGATTTGTAGAAATCTGGCAAATCGCCAAGTCCGTGAGGTATGCCTTAGGCCTTAGGCCTAAGGCATACCTCACGCGATTCGGCTGAATCGCCGGCGATTTGCCAGATTTCTACAAATTTATCGTGCGCGCTTCTCGGATGCATATATGGGTAGCTTGTCTAAGGGCCGCATGCACTAACCTCCCCGCGGGGAGGGGATCGCAGCTTAAAAGAAAGCTTAATATTTCGAAACTCCAGATACCTGGATTTCACGTTGTGTACCTATCCGTGAGTATTTCTACTATTATTCACTATGAACATGTTGAAGAGGAGCGAGAAGCTGTACGAACCGCATTTTCCAGCTTTTGTATGATCCCTGATCATCCCCGGCGCTTTTCTTTAAAGTCATTTTTCTTTCTCCGAAGTTAACGTATAACCTCCAAAGCTGTACTGAACATCTAACACAACAGAGCTAAGCATGTTGCTGATGAGAACAAATGAGTTTTTGAAAAGTCGAATTTTTCGGTAAACCTCAAATTTCGACCTGTGGATCATCGAAAATTTCATGACTTCAAAACACCATTTGTTCTTATCAGCAACATGCTTAGCACTATTGTGTTAGATGTCTAGTACCACTTTGGAAGGTTTTTGTTAACTTCGGAGAAAGAAGTATGACTTTAAAGAAAAGCGCCGGGGATCATCAGGGATCATACAAAAGCTGGAAAACGCGGGTTCGTACAGCTTCTCGCTCCTCTTCAATACGTTCATAGTGAAGGGTAGTAGGAATACTTACGGATAGGTACACAATGTGAAATCCAGGTATCTGGAGTTTCGAAATATGAAGCTTTCTTTTGAGCTGCGATCCCCTCCCCGCGGGGAGGTTAGTGCATGCGGCCCTAAGTTGTTGCAAATGGAGCAAGTTCGGACCAAAGACAGCGCATTAACGACGAATCACGAAGAGTCGCAGTTGTGCCAAATCGCGCGAGGCATGCCTTAGGCCATAGGTATATTTGGAATGGATTTAAGTTTGAAATATTGAGCTAACATGAAAGCAGAAAAACTTTTCTCTAATCATAAATCAATCAAGCACACGTCAAGCCGTAAAAATGGGTAGAATAGTCTAATCTAATTCGTTTCAGAAGCCGGATTGATACCGAAAATGGCAGTCACCTGGATGAGTGAAAGCGTTCCAAATTGTCTTCTCAAAAGTGCACATGAAGGAAAGCTTGTCAAGTTCACTGTCACCAAGGATTTTCCTACAATTGGTCCGCGTTTGAAAACAAGGTAATGTCCATTTTTTTGAGAAAAAGTGTTATCTAACCTGCATAAATCAGGTGGCGAGCATGAGGAACGATAGCTGGTAGGTGTGAATAACTCGCGCATTACCGTAGTTTTTGTCTATCAGCACGCAGAAATCTATAGCATTTCTCCTACTACACTTTCGTTTCAAACAGGGGAATGAGATAGATTCCGTTCACTTGGAAATGAGACGTGAAAATATGTTATAAATATCAAAAAGGGGTTTCAAAGGTGGAACTTCAAGTATTTTATTTTATTTTATTTTGTTTTTATTTTACAATCACTCGAGAGGTGTGCCAGAAACAAAAACGAAAAGTGGAATGAACAGAAAACATAACGCACAGAACAAACATGATTGCCAGTAACAGGGATAAAATGGATAAAATGTGAGGTAAACAGGGCCCCGGATAAACGGCTATCAAGCTGTCCACTTAAAGAATAAAAAAGCAGAAGGCAAGGCTGGTCAAAGGCTAGACTTCAGCATCTTGCTGTCTCAATGAATCTGACAACTCCGATTTGGTGTCAGCGAGCCTACGAGCGGAGGCTTGCTGACTTGGCCCTGACAAAGAATAGCCTGGGAGAAGGCAAGATGTGGCTGAAGTACTAGGCATGAAGATAAGGCAATTAATATTGATGACTTTTTATTGATCTGAGGTAAGGCTAGGGGTGGTAAGGTGATTAAAGGCAGTGGCTCGGCGAATCCCAACCTAATCAAATTTGCGCTTACCTGAGGTTTCTCAATACGCTGATCCCGAAAATCCACTTTTGAAAGCTTGGAAACGGCGAAAATGGGCGTTTTTTAATGCCCTTCCCTTTGATATTGGACGAGTGGAGCAAGGCCGATGATGCTAAATCATGGCAGGATCCAATGGTTATAGCGTTGCGGCGGGCAGCCTCTAATGGTGAGGAGGAGATTGCCAACTCGTCCAGATGCGTGTAAGATTGGCCTGCGCGTGTAAGTTCGAGAGCGATTTTCTAGGCAGGGAAAGCATGCTGTGCAACCGGGATTGCACTGTTTTCATAGTTGGGCGATAAGGAACCTACCGCGTTGAAATCCCGAGTTGTTGGATTTTGCCGATCCATTGCTTTTAAGTTTCCTTGATATACGACAAGCTGATAAAACTAATCATGGTATAGCACTGCAGCAACAAAACCACTCTCAGTAACATTCAAAAGGTGGAAAAAGAAGTAGATGGCAGCATTAACAGGCAGAACCACAGCACATCCGAAGCGATGCATCAGTCGGGAAAACGACGATAAGACTCGTGCAAAGCCAGTGAGCTTTGAAGAGGGAAGCCATGGCAAACTCAGCAGCAACTGATTGACTATAAGGCTGAGGGACATCGGGTTTGAACGAGTCTTCTAAAAATCAGGTATTTTTGGAATCTGAAGTACATCAACGTTTTGCAGTCTTCTACGAAAGATGGTAGAATTTTCACTATTTCAAGTTTATCAGAATCCATGTCCGACTTCTTGCTTATAATATCGTTATGCTAGAAATTTCTTCAAATTCGTACAAATGTGTAAAGATCTAGATCTGAGATTGCTTTCCTTCTTCGTTTTCTAATCCAGTCAGAATATTCAGGAAAGCTTACAATTCCAACCATTAATTGGCACTTAGGTGCAAATTTCATAGCGATTCCAAACCAAAATCTTAGAAATTTCAGTAAAATAAGATGATACATTTCATGAGCTCTGTCAAGGGTTTTTGTAAACAGAGAGAAGGGTTTCCATTGTGATTTATCGACTGAATAATTTTTAGCTGTTCGATTTTCTCCATCTGCATTGGTCGATTCTTCAAGAAACTCCGAACGGATTATCCGGACCAATATGTTGACCTGCACTTTCACACATACGAAGCTCCTTTTGTAAAAATGCAAGATGATGATGTAAAAATCAATGTCACTTTTGCTGTGGACTTCTACATCAATCCGATGAAGCAACACCTCAAGCCTCTGGCTAGACTAAGTGAGCAGCATTTTTTTTCAATTTTTGAAAGAGATGCTCCTTTTTTCAGTACTTTCGTCATCATCCACAGTAATCCCAGAAATTATTCGAAACAAATTCTCTGGCAATTTGACTGAAACTACTGACGATATTCGAGAAGATTTTTCTGACATTGGTGAAATTCCTGAAACGTAAGTATTACATTGCAAAAATTGTTTTTTTTTCACTTCGTGGTTATAGGTTTTTGAACCTTTTCAAGAAGTTATTCACAATGACAAGTCGAGTCATCGTCGAGTCCATATTGCATAAAGGAGTTCCAATTCCAGTATTTGACAATGTAACGATATCAGGTCAGTATGTATACTATGCACTTGAGCCAGTGCCAACCCGGTACGATTAGTATGATTATGAAGCTTTAGAAGGTATGAAATTAGATCTTTTTTCAAGATTTTACAACTAGTGTATGCCATTTTATATATTCAAGTTAATTTTGAATTTTTTCAGGATCATCCGAGATTCGTGTCTTCAACAAGTATATCCGTTTAAATGCTGATTTTGAGTACGAATAAATAAGTTTTCATTGTGTGTGCACAGCATCATACAGTCGAGTAGATTTTCCGTTTAATATAGTGTGCTTGCACTGAAGGTGTGCGGCAAGATTTGCGCGTGAACAAGTAGCCACGCCAGTAATGCCAACATTTTGCGCGCGCAAATGGCCGGCGTCACAGGCGTAGCTGTTTTTTTACGCGCAAATTTTACCGCATTTCAGTGCAAGCACACTATATTAAGCGAAAAATCTACTCGAGTGTATTTAATCAACCAAACCGCGTCTCTGATTTGATAAAGTTGGGTTTCTTTTCTGGAAAATTTCTCGGAAGTTTTTTGTTCTGAGATTGTTTTCTTGCAGAGAAATTCACAAATCTAGTCAAAACTTGCGACATAATAATTTTTGACGTTTCCCCAAATGCGTGAAATAAAATCACGGACACAGGACCTGGCACGCTGGCGCGGACAATATAGGGGTATAGGGGCAAGCTGGATATCGTTTTTGGGGCAAAAAGCAAAGCGGATATCGTTTTTGCGTCGGAAAGGACCGAAAATTGCGACGTTTTTTTAATCGACTTTTCGTTTCTTGAGTGTTTTTTTTACATTTAGGGTATAGGGTCAAAGGGAGATTCGCAAAACTTAGCGAAAATCAGGGGGGAGTTCGTTTTGAAAATTCCTCTGTGCCAGTTCATGCCTGCATGGACATTGCTCAAAATTGATCTATGATGCTTTCCAAGATGCTGATTACGAATACTGCGTTCATCTGGCAGGTAAGCTGTCTTGTGAAGGTTACGGTAGGTATATAGTGGTTGGGCAAAGTGCGATTCTGAAGTCAGTAGACTTAGTTGAGTGGTGATTTGTCGTTTTTGTAGATGTACAGTTCCAGTTTAATCTCCTTATAAACCGGTAGCGTAACCATTATATGGTAACTCGCCATCAGCGCGCCAATAAAGGGTCGGGCATACTTCACGCGATTTCATACGTGACGCGATTTGGCAATTTTCCAACCGTCCATAACTCACTGTAAGCACATTTTGAATGTACATAAGATAGTGCATTTCATCAGTCCACATAAGTTCTATACACTATGCATGTGCAGTTTGCTGTTGGATCTGAAGACTTCTGGCGAATTGCAAAATCGCTTCGCGACTGAAATCGCGTGAAGTATGCCCGGCCCTTAAGTCAATCACGCAAAATTAACTCTTTGTCTCCAGCACTTCAACAACTTCTCATGAGATGCTTTTGAAAACTAATTATCAAAAGTTATCACTTCGTTTATATACCTGGCTACCATGGTGCTTCATTCATTGTTATGTTTTTGTTCGGACAGATTGGTGTTACCTATGCTCTTTTTGTCTGCGCGGCAGCCATTAAATGCTATAGAGGTATGTTTTGCACGTCTTCAACTACTCTGAACACACCAACAATCTTGAACGACCCACGAGTTTTTCTTCAATAGGGAGCCTAGAGAGTCGGGCATACATCACGCGATCAGTCGCGACGCGATTTGGTAATTCGCCAGAAGTCTTCAAATCCAACACTTGCAAGCTGCACATGCATAATGTGTATAGCTTACGTGGACCTGTTAATTTATCCTTTTTTCTGTACATTTAAAATGTGCTTACAATGAGTTGTGGGCAGTTGGGATATTGCCAAATCGCGTCGCGACTGAAATCGCGTGAAGCATGTCTGGCCCGTAGGAAGAAGCTATTTGGTAAATTGACACAAAATGCATCAGCAACCATTCAAGTAACGGAGCATTCACTTGCTGAGGAGCTTGCATTGAGTATCGTGAGGCTCCCGCCAGAGTGCCGAAGTTATGCCAGCGCTACGCCAGCATTTCGATCGATACACGTGTATTTCGTTAGGGACATCTACCTGCTGAGCTAGCCCCGCCCCAACGAAATACACGTGTATCGATCGAAATGCTGGCGTAGCGCTGGCATAACTTCGGCACTCTGGCGAGAGCCTGACAAGCGCTGTTGCGGCTCGGTGTGCTCAGCATCTATCGCAGTGCTCGTCCGCCTTACAAACCCCCTTAACCCCTGGACCTTACGAACCCTCTCCATTCCCGCTAGTATCCTTCATCCGAAGACGAACCATAATTCCTAGCTGCGCACTTCCAAAATCGAGAACTCAACCGCTTGAAAACCATCCATATGCGGGTGCTGCTGGAGGCGCTGCTAGCACAAAGAACAAACTCGAAGAGGCAGAGACCGCTGTGTGTGTGGCCCTATATACCTCATGACTTGGCAATGCGCCCAATAGGAGGTGCGGGCGCGAATTGCGGTATCGCGCCCGGTAACACGCCCAAGGCCTTCTTTCACGATAAGTGGTCTGCATTGCAAGCCGCGACAAGCGCAGAAGGCTTAAACTGACGATAACAGATAGGGTTACCTCAAATGACGATAGAATTGACATGTCGCAGTACAAGAAGCTCTGTAGAATGGGAGCTATTGCAGAGCTTTGTGCATAGCAAAATTAATTGCCCTATTCCCAGATGTACAAGCCGCCCATTTGTAGGCTACTGTATGACGAAGGTGCGATACCTTTGGGCGCGAACGCGCTTTATTAGTCGCAAAATGCATGAGGCGCAGCATCTACAACGGTGAAGATAGGCGTGCGTCGCGTTTGCGCCCGCTCAACTAATGCTGCTTCGCTCAATGTGCCGCAAGAAAGCTTGCCTAGGCTAGAATGGCACCGGAAGGTGGGGGAAGGGGAGGGGGGGGGGGGTTAGCGGCATATACAAGTATGCACAAGAGTCTTTCTCTCAATAAACCCGTAGTGGGTACTGGCTGTGGCTATGATAATTAGAAAAAAACTACTAAGTGGGAAGCGTTAACAAATATTATTAGAACGAGAGCTTTTCTACCAGTCGATCTATTTTTATCGCAGCGCCCATACAACAATGATGCTTCATTAATCTACCATATCCATCATCGAACTTCAACGGTGAAGTTAACTAGACATAAAACTAGACATTCCTTATCTGATACTACTTCCAACAAAATATTAGAAACACTAACCCAATCTTTTGTTAGAATCAAACATAGATTGTTATACCCTAAAAATAAAAACTTAGCTCCTCTTCTTAATATTAGGCAGCAACAAAAATTCTTTATCTTTTGCCCACTAGATAAAGCCAGTTCTAATTATGGTATTATTTGTAAAAAGCTATATCTTTCCATCTTAACTAAAGAAATGAATCTTCAAAATGACGTACAAGACACACTAGTATACGAATTTTTGGGTGAAATTAATGTTCAAGATATCATTAGAAAACATAACAGCCTGGCCATTGACCTTCACCTAAAACCAAATGTTGGCGGAATTATTCCTAACATATATTGCATCCCTAAGCTTCATAAAAATCCAATAAAATTCAGATTTATAACTGGTGCAAGTAACAGCAGTATTAAGCCTTTATCAGAAGAACTTATGCGCATTTTATGTTTCATAAAAACACACTTTAAAAACTATGTAAATATAGTATACACCAATAAAAATTGCTTACCAACATACTGGTCCATCAACGACATCAATATCTCATACATTCTTAGTAACATAGTAGACACTAATCTACAACTCTATTCCGCAGACTTCACAAACATGTTTACTAATATTCCACATGTTGTTATCTTGAAAAACATAAACGCTATACTCAGAATATGTTTTAGGAATAGTAATAGTAGATACATTGTTAGCAAAAACAAAAGTTTACATTACTCTAGTACACCTCTGAATGGAACAAATTTCAGAAATTATAAAATAGAAGATATAATGTATCTCACTCATTTCCTCTTGAAAAACAGCTACTGTAAAGTTGGACAGCACATCTTCAAACAAAAAATGGGTGTCCCACAAGGTAGCAGTGTTAGCTCAATATTAGCAGATTTGACTTTGTCATATATGGAATATTCTTGTGCTTCTAACCAGAAAAAATCTCATAGACTTTTCATACCTTTTAGGTACATGGATGATCTACTGGTCATACACGACATGGAACAATCACAAGTGCAAACAATATTACAAAATACTTATAAAAATATTCTTGAACTAAAAAGCACCAACAGTAGCAATTTCGAATGTGACTTTCTGGACTTAAAAATATGTATAGTTGAAGGCAGAATTATTACCACTCAATATAACAAAACGGACAGTTTCAATTTTAAAGTTAACAAATTTACTCATTCAAGATCACATATCAGTCTGAATGTCAAAATTGCAATCATCTACAGTGAAATTTTGAGAATTTATAGGACTTGTACAAAATTTGAAAACTTCGTTGAAAGACTAGGATTACTTATAGATCAACTTTTAGCTTTACAATACACTCCCAATATCATTTCCAACGCCATGATCAAATGCTTGAGTAAAAATAAATGCATATCATATAAGTATTTGCATCTACAATCGTTCAAAAACACTAAAACTTTTGTTATTAAAATGCTCACAAAATTGCAACATAACTGAATTTTTGATCTACTTGCTCTACCCCTCATGTATAAATACCCCCCCCCTAGACCTGTCCTTCTCAGTACACCACTCTTCCCTACTGACGAGCCTCGGGAGTGGTTCACTCTATAGTAACCTGTATAGGGGTAGAGGCGAAACAGGCATAAAGAACCCATCTTATCAATACTTACTATTCCTACTATCTTGTCGGTTCAGAACAATTTTAGGACAAATCAATGTTAATGAAAAAGGACCGCCAGGCCATATAAAGGATTGTCCACGGGCGAAGTATTGTGCCAAGTGAATCTCATAAAGTTTCGGCATTTTAAAGACAAAACCAATTCAGGATCAGCGGTGGTCACACCCTCTATGATTGCGACGACATCAATTTCTACTGTAAAGTAAGTATTGGCGTAATCATGTGCGAGTAACTTGGGACCAAATAACTTTCTTCTACAAAATCGCCTAGCATTGCCTTTGCCAATTTGAATTCGAATCTCTTTAGAAGGAGGGTTGCGAAACAACAGAACCCATCATTACATGCTGCTGTACTTCGGATCTTTGCAATGGAGCTTCTGAACCAAAACAGTTATCAGGATTCCTTTCCATGATATCTATCATTATAATAAAACTCATTATCTATTAAGTAGTTGTAGAAAACTTGAATAAATTGCTGGAAAGCTATCTATCTTGACTTTCATGTTGCATTTCTTCTGCAGAATTGATCATTCGCGATTAATCTAAGTATATATGCGGAACATATGTTCAAAAATGATTTACAAGGGAAGGATACTTGGTGACCGTGGCCATAATGACTTGTATATCAAAAAATGCGCCTTTTAATGCTGATTCAAAAACTGTCTTTCATATCTGCGAAACGATAACCTGGATGGAGTTATGATTATTTGCTCTGAGATTGTAAAGTATCTGGAATCTTTCAATGAATCTTATTGTGTTAGATTTGGTGCTTTGAGCTCCAGCCACGAAATAGCTTTGATATTCAATTGAGCAACTGAAGCAGGCGCAAGCACCATATTCAGTGCAGTGGGAGCCGTTCGACGAAGCGAACATAATGTCTGCAACGAGCGTCATACAAGCGCTCACGGAGGAATTTCGACGAGATATGCGATCTTTACATTTTGGGCAAAATTCATGAGAACGTGTTTTTGTAGGCTCGTAACTCGGCGAATTTCACAGACTGGAGTCTGAGTAATGCACCATTCGATAGCACAATTCCTAGTAACTTGGCTGAGAAAAGCAAGCAGGCAAGGTTTCTGACAGATACGCGAGAAGTGCGGCCAAAATTACGCACTTTCGTGATGCAGTTACAGTCACCTCACCGTATCTCTCCAAAAAGACCTTGTAATCCTCAAAAACCACGATTTTCGTAAAGAGCGTGTTCGAAAACCTCTATAAGCGAAGTTTCCCTACAATTCAAGAGCATCAACATTTTGACCAAAATCCATCGGCGAGCTTCCGGAGCGTAAAACGGAATAACCCGAACATATCAGAAAACTTGCTCGTAGAGGTTATGCGACCTGCTGATTTCGAAACTCACATCTGCTTGGCAAGATAGCTTCGTATCCTGCGATATGGCGAGTAGAAATTGGGACGACAAGATTTTTCCACAATTCACTCGCCGTTCTACTTCCTTTGAAAAGAAACCTGCGGTTACTATTTAGCACTTTATAATCTACAGAAAAATGCTATCGAAATATCTTTGATGGAATGTACTCGGGACAATGCTCGCTGCTTTACATCTTAGCGAAAAAACGTCCTCAGAAAGATTCAAGAATACTGAAATCGAAATATCAAGGACAAGCTGTATATGAGAAGATTCGCCTTGATGAGCATGACGCTCGTTCGCATCGCTGAGGAAGGCGCTGTTTTCGGATTAGAAATATACTTGTTCCGAAGGAAGTTATGGCGAGTAGAATTTAAAAACGCGTGATTTTTCAAAATTCACCAACGCTTCTATCTCCTTTGAAAAAAAGTCTGAGCCTACTTTTCAGCGCACAATAATCTTAAAGAACAGTATTATCGAATAGTACTTAGTAAAGTCTTCTATGTTGGGTAGGCGTTGCTTCACATATTTGCGAAAGGACCTCCGCAGAACAAATTGAAAAAACTGAAAACGGAATATCGAAAACATCGTACTTCCACTTCCAATACATCAAAAGATTCTCCGCGCCGAGCCGAATCGAATGGTGGCGTTGGATTCAGAATTCGTCCAATCTGAAGCGAGATATGGCCACGCGACGCTGATGTATGGACATGTCCGTACATGTCCGTACATGTCCATACATGTCCATACATTCGCGTCTATTTTTCAAAAAAATGTGAGCGGTATTGTACTCATGGCTTAGGACAGACTGGCGTCATGTTTTATTTATTCCGTGATTCAGGGTTATTGCTTTGCTTGCTTGTTTGTGTTTCTTAGGTGCACCTTGAGTGGAAATTGAAATAAAAATGAAACAAAAATTCGAAAAGATCATATCAAGTTTGGTGGAAAAAATGATGCCCAGACACCCCACTTCTTTGAAAGCCCTATAAAAGATTGCGGGTATCGAATAACAAAAACTTGAGTATCTATCCTTGCCCTTTGTTGCATTTTTGTCCACTTTTCTTTTCCAACGTGCTGGTCTCACAAGGAAAGGTACTTGGTGACCGTGGCCTTCTGAAATGAATTTTTTCATTTTTGAGAGCTGTTCAAACTATTGACGAGTTCCTGTTTACATTGTGACTTCTTCATCGTCTCCGTAAATAATGCACTTTTTCCTTGTGTATTTCTAACATTTGACTCACACATCCAGGGCATCTTATTTATGTCTAAAATTTAGAGTATCTGTGCGAACGCCTTGATTTCTAGTTTTCGTAAAATAGCCACTGAACATCTTTGAAACCGGCCCAGAAGCGCGACTTTTGTGCTTGTCTATAATACAAAATTCCTTTGAACCCCAATCCCATAACTATCGTTAAATTTTAGAACGTCCATTTTGGGCGCGAAAGCTGATTTTCTCGCTTTTCGCACTCAAAAGTAGCCTAGACAATTTGAATCATTGCTATTTGGAGATCAATTGTCAGATGTGAAGTCTACCAAATCAACAAAATGGCTTGCATTCTTTTTAAAATTTCATGATTTATTGGGGTTGTAACATTGATGCGAGTTTTCATGAGTGCTTCTTCACAAGAAAAGCTCTCCAATGTCTTTGCTTCTTGTGATTTACTTCGTAAGCTAAGCTCCCATCTTCCTCTTTCAAACAAGTATTTGTCTGTGATTCTAGATCTGTCTGTATAGTTTTTACAGACTTTTCAATAAAAAGTTTTGAAATGGGAATTTTTTTATTGCACTACTCTGTCCTTAGCTCTCGCCCAAAAAAAGCATTTAGAAATTTTAGTAAAGGATAATGTCCAAAGGCTATATAAATGCTCAGTTCAGCTTCCGTCTAGTAATACTGGGGCAGAATATTGTGGTTCATAGAAGTAATCGGGGGCATTATGTGGCCGACGAAATTCTTGTAATTTGAGAAATCATGGGTGTCGCTATCGTCCCAGACTGTCAGAAACTACTTGCTTGTTAACCACTTAGATTTCACCATAAAGCGATAAAAGTTCTAAAATTATGGGATATTTCACCTCAGCGAAAGGCCAATTTTGAATTTTCCTATTTTGCGAAGGAATCTTGATATCTGTGTATCTATTAGGTTGTTTCAAAAGTAAACTCCTTTCTCAAATAATTGAAGCTGTTTTTGTTTTCTCAGTAAAATTAGGATATCATTCGATAGAGCAGATCAAGCTCTACAAAATAGATACGAAAGATCCACCTAAGCCGCGGTCCGTGGAAAATTTGAAGCCAAAATCGGAAAAAATTTTGTCACCTGAATTTGAATTGTGTGATAAAGAATCCTACAGATCTTCAACTTAGTCATTATATGGTGGGCAAATAGCAGTACTCAAATATGCCTTTACCGAATTTTTTCTAAGCATAGAAAGCGAGAAACAAAATTTGTCCAAAAATGGCAAACTCCGCCCCCAGCCCCTCCCACATATGTCATTGTATACTACAAGCCTTACTAAGTATATTATTTTAATCAAACCTCTGTGTGTTTTCTTATAAACGAGAAATAAAGTTTTACATGAAAATCTCGAGGAAAGTGGCATTTTTGGACCATCTTTATTTTTCAATTTTGAGCCCCGAAAAAAAAGTTGCCCAAACACATTTTTGGGTACTGCGATATGTCTACTATATAGAGACCAAGTTGGAAGTCCGTAGGAATTCTCTGGAAGGAGATCCGATTTTTAGGGTGACTGAAAAATCTTGATTTTTGGCCCCAAGTTTTTTTCTGGATTACGACTTAGGTAGATCTTTGGTAGTCTTTCTGTAGAGCTTGCCCCGCTCTCTCGAATGGTACCTTAAGTCTGTTAGGAGAACTAGAACAGCTCAATTTATTTGAAAATGGAGTGTACTTTTGGGACAACCTAATATTCATATGCTAACGTGAATACACGATGAGGAATTTTTCAGCTACTTACATCTTCAGAAAATTGTAATCCGTCAAAATAGGCGTTTTGGAAGATATAACCTGCTTGGAAAAGAGTTTTATTGCAGATTTGAGTTCGTTCTGACAGATGAAGGAATAGCATAGACACCACTACGAGGCACAGTCAAACTAAAAGGCAGATGGCAGGTTGAATATACAATTTTGCTTCCGTTTAGCAGAACCTGAATGTTTTTCCACTTCTCGATATGTCTTACATTAAAACAAGGTATGGCTAGGACTAGCTTTTTAAGCACGGCATTTTTTTTTTTTTGAAAACACGGTGCGCCAGCTACGGGAAAAGAATCACTTCTGGTACAAACATACCTTCGATAGTCTAGAGACAGGGCGTCAAAAGTGAAGGTTGTTTGAACATCTTACGTCACAAATAGTGAAGGTTATTTAAAGAAATCAGAGAAGAGGAAATGACTAAAACAGATATAAAAAGCAAAAGAAATTGCTGAAAACCGGATAAAAACGCCACAATGAGGTTTGAAATCTTTCAACTGGCGGCTTTTCCAAAGTTTTGCTCACCTGCAATTCGCAGCACGGGGTTTTGATTCGATGCGTCCTTTGAATTTTTACCCCCCGCATTGACGTTCCTGTCTTCTGGGACGTTGTCAGGATTGTTGCGCTTATTGTTCTGCGCAACAATCGCCCAAGCTGGAAGAAAATCCATGCGAAAGCACTGAAACAGAACAAGGAGAAAAACGCACTTTTTACGATTTTTCGCAAAAAGTTCCACCATAATCGAAGAGGTAGGGGTTGGGTGGTTGTCTGCATCTTGAACAGAAGCGAGATCTATAGTATCCACGAAAAAATCACGTGAAGAAGTAAATTAGGAGAAAAACAAGAGATTTTTGAAAACAAGATTTCTGCCGGATTTCTTGGTCAAATCAAAAAATGTGGTTCTGGGACGTTGTCAGCGTGAAAATAGAGATCAAGAGCTTCAAAATGATATATAGCTTGCTAAAATTTTATTCGAAACAGCGAAGGAAAGGGTACCAGAGCCAAATGCCCCGCACCCCGCGTTTGGGGTAGCGAGGTAGCGCGCAGCGCGCGGAGACGCAGACGAGCAGCGGAGACAGACCGGAGCCGTCGGGGCATTTGGCTCTGGTCGTAGATCTCCGCGGGGTCTCAACGAAACCCTGCAACATTATATATCATTCTGATCGCCATGACACGACGCAGAGCACTGACAATGTCCCAAGCTTTGAAAATCACTCCTTAACGATATAGACCAGCGTTTTCGTGCGCGACTCTTTGCGCAAGATAAAGCGCAGTTTCTCGTTTTTATTCAACTCCAATAGCTTTCCCAAACTTGAAACTCGGTTTTGGTCAAATGAGAGGTCAATTGAGGAATTTTGTCCTAAATTCTGGCGAAATTTCCACAGAAACCTTCTTTTTAACGTAAAAAAGGCTATGAAAAACAAGTTCTCGGTTTCGCTGAGATAAGCTGAATATATTATTCCCTATATTTGCTTCATTAACATTCGTTCCGGTATAGTCAGGATAATAACATCCGGGCGAAGCCCTGGATGACTTCTGTTTTTTTCCAGGTTAAGATTGTGTCAACTCATAGCCCTCAAAGTGAAGGTTACCAGAGTACGTGGCTCTAGTATCGAGGGTATGGCTAAAAAAGTATTCAGAGCCAAGTGGCCCATGCGGAAACTTATTTGGAAAGGGGTGAATTCAACTTTGAAGGGAAGAAATCAACATATCCATCTATTTGAACACAGCCCAGCTTTTTTAATATCGATACTTGTCGGTTATTTCTCGAATTCAACGTCAAATAGTCGCTTTACTTGTTGTTTCCCAATGTTGGGTTTGGAGCAAGATCTACTTATCTACTTAAATATCGTAATCCCATCTGAGGCTACTAACGGACGTCAGATCGTAATCGTACAAATACCATAACCCCACATGAAGGCTGCTGTAATAATTGGAATTTCAGCTTGCCATATAATATTCTCTTTTCCTCCATAACTAGTCCTATGTCTCGGGTGAGGGAATTTTTGTAAATAAAGTCATGCCTTGGGGTCTCGCATGTCTGTCAGCTGGGCACAAATTGTTACTTAACATTCTACTTCTAGACGGAACACATTGATTTGATTGATCGAAAACCTCAGGTAAAAGCTTCCGGATGGATGAATGTGTTAGCCTCAGATATTCAAATGAACGTTTCCGCTAAAGCGATAGCCTTTGATGATCGACCTCAAATCGAAGTCGGGGAGTGCGAAGCCAACGTTTGAAATTTTGATCTTGAGTGGGTTGAGAATCATCATGTCCCCGTGGAGAGAATTTCTTATTTAAAATTGGAGGTGGTGTTCTGCCTTGGTTGGTCAATTTGTTCCGAGCTGATATTTCACGTGCAATTCAAAAAACTATTCATGAACAGGTAACTACTGTATTATTAGTGTTTACTGAAAAAAATTTATTATAATTTCCTTAGGCATGTGAAGTTGCCCAGTCCATTCTGCTTACCAACTTCAACAACTTCTTACTTTCTCTACAGCTACATCTGCCAGTGGGTCAAGATTTTTATGTCGACTACGCTGTGGAGAAAAACCCTAATTTTACGAGGTATGATTCTGAAGCATTTGGAAGATTCGTGCTAATTTATCATCATAATTTGAAATAGAGAAAATTCTGTGAATTTAAAATGAAATCAAGAGCAACACTAGCTTCTACTATTCTACAAGCCCACAAAAAGATATTTTCCCAATAGGGTAATAGCGGAGAAGAGAAAGGAAAATCTAAGGATAGAAGAAAATAGCAAAATTGTCAAGGTAGGTACGAATTGTCTATACTTGTCTGGGGAGCTCAAAAATGCACATACCACAGCACAATCTAATTTGGCAAGTTTTGATAATTCTAGAAATGCACAACATTATATCCAAGTATATTCTATCACAGAAACAAAAAGGAGTTTAGTATGACATGTACCAAAGCGCTAGATGAAAACTCGATGATATTTTATTTTGCAGCAAATATGTCGAAGCTGAAGCTGCGGCCGAGATATTATACGAAGACCACTCGTGTCATCCAGAAAAAATTGAAGGATGGACAGGTATATTTTTTTTTTGAAGATTTCCAAAAAAACATAAACATAGCGGTTCGAGTCTGTTGAAACGGTTCAAGTTTATAGCACTGTATCCACATTTAGAGAAACAAAAAAAAGTTTTCGCTAACTCTTAAAAGTCCTGAGTACAAGTTGACGTAGTACAAATAAGTGAAATAATCTGATGTAATCTACTCAACGTTGAGTTTTTAGAAGCTGGACTGATACCGAAAATGGCAGTTACATGGATGAGGGAAAGCGTTTCAAATTGTCTTCTCAAAAGTGCACATGAAGGAAAGCTTGTCAAGTTTACTGTCACCAAGGATTTACCTACAATCGGTCCGCGTTTGAAGACAAGGTAATTCTCCATTAATTTGGAAAAAATATGTCTCTTGCACAAACTCAGTCAGCTGACCATTTACGGAAAGTACCATATTCTTGGTGCTTGCATATAATACTGTTGTGCCAAAAATTTCTCAAATTCGTACAAATATGTAAAGACCTAGATCTGATCTTACCGCTAACCTTTTTCATTTTCTAATCCATTTAGAATCTTACCAAGAAAACTAAGTTTTCAGCTATTAATTACACACTTGCCGTCCAAATTTTATGCAATTCCAAACCAAAGTCCTGAAAAATCAGCAGGCCATCATCAAAAAAGGGAATTTTGGTAAAACAAGATAATGTATTCCATGAGTTCTATCAAGGGTTCTGTGAATAGAGAAAAGGATTTCCACTGTGTTTAGCAACTGATAAAGTGTATTTGCTAACTGATGATTTTTTAGCTATTCGATTTTCTCTATCTGCATCGGCCGATTTTTCAAGAAACTCCGAACGGATTATCCGGACCAATATGTTGACCTGCACTTTCACACATACGAAGTTCTTTTTGTACAAATGCAAGGTGATGATGTAAAAATCAACGTCACTTTTGCTGTGGACTTCTACATCAATCCGATGAAGCAACACCTCAAGCCTTTGGCTAGACTAAGTACGTTACAATATATTTAATTTTGGTAAAGCTAAAATGTTGTTTCAGTCCTTTCGTCATCATCCACAGTAATCCCAGAGATTATTCGAAAGAAATTCTCTGGCAATTTGACTGAAACTACTGACGATATTCGAGAAGATTTTTCTGAGATTGGTGAAATTCCTGAAACGTAAGTATTACATTGCAAAAATTGTTTTTTTCTTACTTCGTGGTTATAGGTTTTTGGACCTTTTCAAGAAGTTATTCACAATGACAAGTCGAGTCATCGTCGAGTCCATATTGCATAAAGGAGTTCCAATCCCAGTATTTGACAATGTAACGATATCAGGTCAGTTATGTATACTATGCACTTGAGCCAGTGCCAATGCAGTACGATTAGTATGATTATAAAGCTTTAGAAGGATGGAAATTAGATCTTTTTTCAAAAGTTTACAACTCGTGTATGCCATTTTATATATTCAAGTTAATTTTGAATCTTTTCAGGATCATCCGAGATTCGTGTCTTCAACAAGTATATCCGTTTAAATGCTGATTTTGAGTTTGAATAAACATTTCAATGTGTATGCACAGCTCATACAGTCGAGTAGATTTTCCGTTTAATATAGTGTGCTTGCATTGAAGGTGTGTGGCAAGATTTGCGCGTGAACAAGTAGCCACGCCAGTAATGCCAAATTTTGCGCGCGCAAATGGCCGGCGTCACAGGCTAGCTATTTTTTTACGCGCAAATTTTACCGCATTTCATCTTCACTGCAAGCACACTATATTAAAGGCAGCGTCCGGGCAAAATTTCGCCTCTCGTCTTTTTGCCATTCTGGGGTCTTCCCGTGGCCCTGAATACAGTTGTAAAGTCCAAATTGTTCAACACCCCCAAAAAAACCCGATTCTTAGGGACCCTCTCTTCAAGAAGCGGGAGAGTTTCGGATTGCTCGTCCCCATCGCATATCAGCGGGAGGAGCTGCAACTGCACGGATGCCGTTGCATTGCAGTATGCAGTGCAACTGCAATGCAACTGCAATGCGACCGCACACCTGCGTGAGCACTCGTCCTCAGCGGTGGTTTGTGACTCGAAGGGACAGTTTGTGATACGTATCACAAGCCCGTATCTCCTTTTAGAGGCCACTTCAAAGATTCGGACCAACGCAGATCGGATACTCATGGGCCCCTCTTTACAACTATGTGCTAACCTGGGTGGATGGATCTTGCCCGGACGCTGCCTTTGAGCGAAAAATCTACTCGACTGTATTTAATCAACAAAACCGCGTCTCTGATTTGGTAAAGTTGGGCTTCTTTCCTGGGAAATTTCTCGGAAGTTTTTTTGTTCTGAGATTGTTTTCTTGCAGAGAAATTCACAAATCTAGTCAAAACTTGCGACATAATGATTTTTGACGTTTCCCCAAATGCTGACCCACCTGGCACGCTGGCACGGACGGGCAAGCTGGATATCGTTTTTGGGACAAAAAGCAAAGCGGATATCGTTTTTGCGTCGGAAAAGACCGAAAATTGCGACGTTTTTTTAGTCAACGTTTCGTTTCTTGAGTGTTTTATTTACGTTGGTATGGGGTCAAAGGGAAATTTGCAAAACTTAGCGAAAGTCAAGGGAGAGTTCGTTTTGAAAATTCCCTTGTGCCAGTTCATGCCAAGCCCTGCATGGACATCGCTCAAAATTGATCTACCTATGATGCTTTCCAAGATGCTGATTACGAATACTATGTTCATCTGGCAGGTAAGCTGTCTTGTGGAGGTTACGGCAGGTATATAGTGGTTGGGCAAAGTGCGATTCTGAAGTCAGTAGACTTAGTTAAGTGGTGATTCGTCGTTTTTGTAGATGTGCAGATCCCAGTCTCCTTATAAACCGGTACCATAACCATTACATGATAATTCGCCATCAGCCGCCAACTAAAGGGCCGGGCATACTTCACAATTTCGATTGCGATTTCATTCGTGAGCGATTTGGCAATATTCCAACCGTCCATAACTCACTGTAAGCACATTTTGAATGTACATAAGGTAGTGCATTTCATCAATCCACTTAAGTTCTATGCACTACTAGCTGTCGTACCCGGCCTTGCCCGGGATAACATCACTTAGGGTTCACTGTCTTTGGATATATGTGACACTCAAAGCAGTAGTGTATCATTGAAGTTTGTTTGCAAAAATAAAAATAAAATGTGTACACTTTTACTTAACAGCATTGTCTCTCTTCTTTTTGAAACATGGAAGACGTGAAAAAACTTGAAGAGCAAGCATTGCGATATAGGTGGAAGAACGTTCGAATAATGTAGCGCCCATTGCTATCCTGAGGATCATTTTTCCTAGTACTTCTCCGCTAATCGGTTATTCTGTTTTAACTCCCGCACTCTACCCTCCTCTCCCGTACTACGACAAAAGTAAGTGCTTCTTTGACTGTCCTTGCTTTAGAGAGCGAATACCTTTATAGCCAAAGCAACAGCCATTCTACCACGTTAAAGATATGTAATCCACAACTTGTGAGCCATTTGGATAACAGATTAATGAAAAAAAAACTCAAGGACTTCAGTCAATAAACAAAATTATGATGTAAGCTTTCAAATTGAGAGTCACGCTCATGCGGCTGGAATTCATGTCGAAGGTTCCAACGTTAGAGTGTGGCACGCAATTTGAGACAGCTTGTAACTTAGCGATTGGCTCACATCTGCATCAAAAAAAAGGCTTTGACTTGCGTTAACAACACTACTAATACCTCGCACCGCAAAAGATGCATCTCGCAGTCTTAGACAGAATATATAGGACCTACATCTGAACGCTTTCGACCTTACTTTGCTGACGAAAGTTCACAATGGATCGTACTGCTCTTGTTTACATATAAGTATAGGAATGGTTCTGCAATAGCTGCTGATAAGCTTCATTCCCTTACTGAGAGTGCAACAAATTAATAAATCGATAGAAGGACCCAGCGAATTGTCGAAAAAAGTAGCCTATCTTTTGCGCCGTGGCTTGTTTATAGGGAAACAAAATTCAGCCTCTTTGGTTTACATACAAAGGAGTTTATAAGCCACAAACATCCTAACAAACACGGTACAGTGTTTGAGTTTTATATATATATAGATGCATGTGCAGTTTGCGAGTGTTGGATTTGAAGACTTCTGAAGAATTGCCAAATCGTGTCGCGACTGAAATCACGTGAAGTATGCCCGACCCTTAAGTCAACCATGCAGAATTAACTCTTTGTCTCCAGCACTTCAACAACTTCTCATGAGATGCTTTTGAGAACTACCTATCAAAAGTTATCACTTCGTTTATATGCCTGGCTACCATGGTGCTTCATTCATTGTCATGTTTTTGTTCGGACGGATTGGTGTTACCTATGCTCTTTTTGTCTGCGCGGCAGCCATTAAATGCTATAAAGGTATGTTTTGCACGTCTTTAACTACTCTGAACACACCAACAAGCTTGAACGACCCACGAGGTTTTACTTCTCCATACTATAGGGAGCCTAAAGAGTCGGGTATACATCACGCGATCAGTCGCGACGCGATTTGGTGATTCGCCAGAAGTCTTCAAATCCAACACTTGCAAGCTGCACATGCATATGTATAACTTACGTGGACCTGTTAATTTATCCTTTTTTCTGTACATTTAAAGTGTGCTTACAATGAGTTGTGGTCAGTGGAATATTGCCAAATCGCGTCGCGACTGAAATCGCGTGAAGCATGTCCGATCCGTAAGAAGAAGCTAGTTGGTAAATTGACATAAAATGTATCAGCAACCAATCAAGTAACGGAGCATTCACTTACTGAGGAGCTTGCATTGAGTATCGTGGTAAGCTCTGTTGCGGCTCGCTGTGCTCAGCACCCATCGCCCTATTGCCCGTCCGCCTCACAAACCCCTTTAACCCCTGGACCTTACGACCCCTCTCCACTCCCGCTAGTATCCTTCGTCCGAAGACGAACCATAATTCCTAGCTGCGCACTTCCAAAATCGAGAACTCAACCGCTTGAAAACCATCCATATGCGGGTGCTGCTGGAGGCGCTGCTAGCACAAAGAACAAACTCGAAGAGGCAGAGACCGCTGTGTGTGTGGCCCTATATACCTCATGACTTGGCAATGCGCCCAATAGGAGGTGCGGGCGCGAATTGCGGTATCGCGCCCGGTAACACGCTCAATGCCTTCTTTCACGATAAGTGGCCTGCATTGCAAGCCGCGACAAGCGCAGAAGGCTTAAAGTGACGATAACTGATAGGGTCACCTCAGATGGCGATAGAATTAACATGTTGCAGTACAAGAAGCTCTGTAGAATGGGAGCTATTGCAGAGCTTTGTGCATAGCAAAAAATTAATGCCCTATTTCCAGGTGTACAAGCCGCACCCATTTGTAGGCTACTGCATGACGAAGGCGCGATACATTTGGGCGCGAACGCGCTTTATTAGTCGCAGAATGCATGGGCATACCTCTCGCGATTTTGCGAAATCGTCACATCTCGTGACTTGGCGATTTGCCAAATGTCTAGGGATTAAGCATGCGAGGCTCTCAGATGCATGGGTGCGTAGATTCCGTAAATTGTAACAAACACAGCACGTCTGGCCCAAGCAAAGTGCGTTTACGACCAGCTATGGAGAGTCGTTGCACTGCCAAATCGCGCGAGGTATGCCTTAGGCCTGAGGCGCAGCATCTACAACGGTGAAGATACGCGCGTGTCGCGTTTGCGTCCGCTTAACTAACGCTGCTTCTGCGCCATCGTCTTGCAGTAGCCATTAGCTTAATTTGCGAGCGCTCGCTGCGCGTATGCCCCGCGAAGCAGTCGATTTCGGCTACGGGTTCGCCGGGCATGCCGCGCTCAATGTGCCGCAAAAAAGCTTGCTTGGGCTAAAATGGCAACGGAAGGGGGAAGGGGAGGGGGGAGGGGTTAGCGGCAGATACAAGAATGCACAAGAGTCTTTCCCTCAATTAACTCGTAGTGGATAGTGGCTGTGGCCGTGATAATTAGAAAAAACTGCTAAGTGGGAAGCGTAAACGAATATTAGTAGAACGACGAGAGCTTTTCTACCGATCGATCTATTTTTATCGCAGAGCCCATACAATAATGATGCTTCATCAATCTGCCATATATCCATCATCGAACTTCCTACTATCTCGCCTGTTCAAAACAATTTTAGGAATCAAAGAAAGACCACCAATCGATGTAAGGGATTGTCCACTGGCGAAGTATTGTGCTAAGTGAATCTCATAAAGTTTCGGCATTTTAGAGGCTAAACATTCACTTCAGAAACAACCTTAGTGAAACCCGCTATGACTGCGACGACCTTTTCTTCTGCAGAGTAAGTATTGGCGTAATCATGTGCAGAGTGATTTGGGACCAAATAACTTTTTCTACAAAATTGTTTAGCATCGCATTTGTCAATTGAATTGAATCTATTCAGGGAGAGGGTTGCGTACCATGGTTAAAGACCAGCAGCATTTGCTGCTGTAATTCGGATCTTTGCAATGGAGGCGTAGCTTCTGAACCAAAACAGTTATCAGGATTCCTTTCCATGATATCTATCATTATAGTAAAACTCATTATGTACTAAGTAATTGTAGAGAATCTGAATAAATTGCTGGAAAGCTATCTATCGTGACTTTCATGTTGCATTTCTTCTGCAGAATTGATCATTCGCGATTAATTTTAAGCATATGTGCGGGACATATGCTCAAAAATGATTCAGAGGCTATCATAATGCATCTTCGCGATCTCTTGTTGAACCTATTTTACCGTACCCTACCTATTCAACAGAAGTGGCGGCTGGAAGGCGGGGCTTTGGAGCGCAGTTAGGGCTAGAGAATGATCAGAGAGCACCAACGCATGAGAGATGCAGACTGCGTCGCGGGCGCGAGCGGTCGCCTTTCAGCCGCCGATTTCGTTGAATCAAAGGGTACGGCAGCTCAATGTGATCTTGGTTATATGATAGATAGCTGGCTTACCCGGCTCCGCCGTATGTTCCGAATAAAAAATTCCATTTCTTTACCGATCCGGATCAAACTTGGCACACATACACTTCGGGCCCCGGCGGGTGTCATAGGCTACTTTTCGTCATCGATCGATATTGATTTTATCGATTTTTTGCAAAATTTGAGCTAGGGGGCTGGAATTTGGCAGGGGGGTGTAATCGAGCATGCTGATCACCCCCACGGGGGTGATCAGCATGCTTGCTCAGCCTTTGCTTCAGCCCGTAGGCTCGTTAACGCCAAAATGGGATGGATCGTCATAAATTTAGAGGTGGCAAGACTCTAAAAGCATTCATTCCCTTTCATTGAGTTTGGCTGTCTAGCCAGAGAATGATTTGAATATCCCTCTTACGTACTCGAGGGCATCTACAATACCGCTCACATTTTTTGAAAAATAGACGCGAATGTATGGGCATGTATGGACATGTACGGACATGTCCATACATGTCCATACACGCGTCTATTTTTCAAAAAATGTGAGCGGTATTGTACTCATGGCTTAGGACAGACTGGCGTCATGTTTTATTTATTCCGTGCTTCAGGGTTCTTGCTTTGCTTGCTTGTTTGTGTTTCTTAGGTGCACCTTGAGTGGAAATTGAAATAAAAATGAAACAAAAATTCGAAAAGATCATATCAAGTTTGTGGAAAAAATGATGCCCAGACACCCCACTTCTTTGAAAGCCCTATAAAAGATTGCGGGTATCGAATAACAAAAACTTGAGTATCTATCCTTGCCCTTTGCTGTATTTTTGTCCACTTTTCTTTTCCAACGTGCTTGTCTCACAAGGAAAGGTACTTGGTGACCGTGGCCTTCTGTAATGTATTTTTTCATTTTTGAGAGCTGTTCAAACTATTGACAAGTTCCTGTTTACATTGTGACTTCTTCATCGTCTCCGTAAATAATGCACTTTTTTCTTGTGTATTTCTAACATTTGACTCACACATCCAGGGCATCTTATATATGTCTAAAATTTAGAGTATCTGCGCAAACGCCTTGATTTTCAGTTTTCTAGTAAAATAGCCACCGAACATCTTTGAAACCGGTCCAGAAGCGCGACTTTTGTGCTTGTCTATAATCCAAAATTCCTTTGAACCCCAATCCCATAACTATCGTTAAATTTTAGAACGTCCATTTTGGGCGCGAAAGCTGAATTTCTCGCTTTTCGCACTCAAAAGTAGCCTAGACAATTTGAATCATTGCTATTTGGAGATCAATTGTCAGATGTGAAATCTACCAAATCAACAAGATGGCTTGCATTTTTTTCTAAATTTTATGATTTATTGGGGTTGTAATTGTAACATTGATGCGAGTTTTCATGATTGCTTTTTCACAAGAACAGCTCTCCCATGCCTCTGCTTCTTGTGATTAACTTCGTAAGCTATGCTCTTTTCTTCATCTCAAACAGGTGTTTGTCTGCGATGCTAGATCCACCTATACAGTATTTACAGGCTTTTCAATAAAAAGTTTTGATTTGAGAATTTTTTTATTGCACTACTCTGTCCTTAGCTCTCGCCAAAAAAAGCATTCAGAAATTTTGATAAAGGATAATGTCCAAAGGCTCTATAAATGCTCAGTTCAGCTTCCGTCTAGCGATACTGGGGCAGAATACTGTAGTTCATAGAATCAATCGGGGGCATTATGTGGCCTACGAAATTCTTGTAATTTGAGAAATCATGGGTGTCTCTATCGTTCCTGTAAGAGCAAGCCAGACCGTCAGAAACTACTTGCTGTTGACCATTTAGATTTCACCAGAAAACAATTAAAGCTCTAAAATCATGGGATATTTCACCTCAGCGAAAGGTCAAGTTTAAATTTTCCTATTTTGCGAAGACATCCTGATATCTAACTATTAGGTTGTCCCAAAATTGAAGTCCTTTTCAAATAATTCAAGCTGGTTTATTTTCCCAGTAAACCTAGGGTAACATTCGATAGAACAGATCAAACTCTACAAAATAAATACCAAAGATCCACCTAATCCGCTTTCCGTGGAAAGTTTGAAGCCAAAATCGGAAAAAAATTTTGTCAGTTTAAAATTGATTTCTGCGATAAAGTATCCTACAGACCTCCAACTTGGTCATTATATATTAGTCACATAGCAGCACTCAAATACATATGCCTGTACCGAATTTTTTCAAGCATAGAAAGCGAGAAACAAAAATTGTCCAAAAATGGCAAACTTCGCCTCCAGCCCCTCCCACATATATCATTGTATACTACAAGCCTTACTAAGTATAATACTCTAATCAAATCTCTGTGTGTGATCTTATAAACGAGAAATACCAAGTTTTACATGAAAATCTCGAAAAAAGTGGCATTTTAGCATTTTTGGACCATCTTTGTTCTTCAATTTTGAGCGCGTAAAAAATCCCTCCAAACATTTTTGGGTACTACGATATGTCCACTAAATTCTCTGGAAGGAGATCCGAATTTTTAGGGTAGCTGAAAAATTTTGATTTTTGCCTCATATTTTTTTCTGGATTACGAGTTAGGTGGATCTTTGGTGGTCTTTTTGTGAGCTTGTTCCGCTCTATCGAATGGTGCCTTGAGTCTGTTAGGATAACGAGAACAGCTCAATTTATTTGAAAATGGAGTTTACTTTGGGGACAACCTAATATTTATATGCTAACGTTATGAATACATGATGAGGAATTTTTCAGCTACTTACATCGTCAGAAAATTGTAATCCGTCAAAATAGGCGTTTTGGAAGATACAACCTGCTTGGAAAAGAGGTTTTATTGCAGACTAGCTGGCTTACCCGGCTCCGCCGTATCCGGACCAAACTTGGCACACATACACTTCGGGCCCCGGCGGGTGTCACAGTCCACTTTTTGTTATCGATCGATGTCGATTTTACCGATTTTTATCGTTTTCTTTGCAGAGTTCACCTACAGGGCTAGGAGTTGGCACAGGGGGGGAAGTGAGCATGGGGATTCCGAATACAATATTAGTTTTCAGAACTATCGATTACTTTTATTGATTTTATCGATTTTTTGTAAATTTTGACATGCGAGGCTGGGAGTTGGCACAGGGGGGTAATCGAGCATGGGGATTCCGAATACAATATTGGTTTTCAGGATTATTGATTACTTTTATCCATTTTATCGATTTTTTTGTAAAGTTTGACCTGCGGGGCTGGGAGTTTGCACAGGGGGTAATCGAGCATGCAGATTACGAATACAATATTAGTTTTCGAGATCGTCCATTACTTTTATCGATTTTATCGATTTTTTGAAAATTTGAGCTAGGGGGCTGGGAGTTGGCACAGGGGGGTACCCCCCTGTGCCAACTCCCAGCCCCCTAGCTCAAACTTTGCAAAAAATCGATAAAATCGATAAAAGTAATCGATAACCCTGAAAACCAATATTGTATTCGGAATCCCCATGCTCGATTACCCCCCTGTGCCAACTCCCAGCCCCGTAGGTGAACTCAGCAAAAAATCGATAAAAATCGATAAAATCGATATCGATCGATGACGAAAAGTAGCCTATGACACCCGCCGGGGCCCGAACTGTATGTGGCCAAGTTTGGTCCGGATCGGTTCAGAAATGGAATTTTCTATTCGGAACATACGTACACACAGACATACAGACAGACAGACAGACAGACAGACAAACAGACATTCAGCTTTATATATAAGATTTGAGTTCGTTCTGACAGATGAAGGAATAGCATGGACATCACGACAAGGCACAGTCAAACTAAAAGGCAGATGGCAGGCTGAATACACAATTTTGCTTCCGGTTAGCAAAACCTGATTGTTTTTTCACTTCTCGATATGTCTTACATCAAAACAAGGCACGGCTAGGACTAGCTTTCTAAGCACGGCATTTTTTTCGAAAATACGGTGCGCCAGCTACGGGAAAAGAATTACTTTTGGTAAAGAAGTATCCAGAGCCAAGTGGCCCATGCAGAAACTTATTTGAAAAGGGGTGAATTCAACTTTAAAGGGAAGAAATGATATCCACCTAGTTGAACATAGCCCAGCTTTTTCTGATATCGATACTTCCTCGGTTATTTGTCGAATTTAACGTCAAATAGTCGCTTTACTTGTTGTTTTTCAATGTTGGGTTTGGAGCATTAGGCTACTGTTGAACGTTAGATCGTACAAATACCGTACGCCCAGATGAAGACTGCCGTAGTCTTGAACATGTTTCAGCATGCTACATAATTTTCTCTTTTTCTTCAACTAGTAATCAGTCTTGGGCTCAGACAAATCACCGGAACTTCCGCAGAACAAGTCAACTTTGCAGAAGTTCCGCAGGATTGCACTATTGCAAAAATGAAAACGTTGGAAATCGGAACTTCCGCGGAGTTTTCATGCCAAACTGGATGAAAACCGGAACTTCCGCAGAACCTTCTTTAAAACCCTGCGGAAATTCCGAAAAATGCCAGAGGTTCCACAGCACTTTGGCCTGCCAGAACTTCCGCGGGACTTTGAATGTGTTGTCTCGTGATGTTGTCTCGCCAACAACTAGAGTGCATTATCGAACATGTCAGTCGTAGCGTAGAGGATAGTAGGTGGGTCTCACAGTCAATAGAGTGAGGTTCAAATCTCGCTTCGGTGTTCTTTTGCGCTGTTTTGGATTCTTCGGAACTTCCGCAGGACCTCATTTCGGAGCTTCCGCAGCACGTTTACAGAACTTTCGCAAGTGAGCCGGTGGAACTTCCGCAAGCGCTCTGCGGAAGTTCCGGTCATTTGTCTGAGAGTGGGAACTTCTGTTTAAGAAATTCATGCCTTAGGGTCTCGCATGTCTGTCAGCTAGGCACAAATTGTTACTTAACATTCTATTTCTAGATAGAACGCATTGATTTGATTCATCGAACCTCAGGTAAAAGCTTCCGGATGGATGAATGTGTTAGCCTCAGATATTCAAATGAATGCCTCGGCAAAGGCGATAGCCTTCGATGATCGACCTCAGATAGAAGTTGGCGCATGCGAAGCAAATGTTGGAAATTTTGATCTTGAGTGGGTTGAGAATCATCATGTCCCCGTAGAGAGAATTTCTTATTTAGAATTGGAGGCGGTGTTCTGCCTTGGTTGGTCAATTTGTTCCGAGCTGATGTTTCACGTGCAGTTCAGAAAACTATCCATGAAAAGGTACTGTATTATTAGTATTTACTGAAAAAAAATTTTATTATAATTTCCTTAGGCATGTGAAGCTGCCCAGTCCATTCTGCTTACCAACTTCAACAACTTCTTACTTTCTCTACCGCTACATCTGCCAGTGGGTCAAGATTTTTATGTCGACTACGCTGTGGAGAAAAACCCTAATTTTACGAGGTATGATTCTGAAGCATTTGGAAGATTCGTGCTAATTTATCATCATAATTTGAAATAGAGAAAATTCTGTGAATTCAAAATGAAATCAAGAGCAACACTAGCTTCTACTATTCTACAAGCCCACAAAAAGATATTTTCCCCTTAGGGTAATAGCGGAGAAGAGAAAGGAAAATCTAAGGATGGAAGAAAATAGCAAAATTGTCAAGGTAGGTACAAAGATATGTCTATACTTATCTGGGGAGCTCAAAAATGCACATACCACAGCACAATCTAATTTGGCAGGTTTTGATAATTCTAGAAATGCACAACATTATATTCAAGTATATTCTATCACAGAAACAAAAAGGAGTTTAGTATGACATGTACCGAAACGCTAGATGAAAACTTGATGATATTTTATTTTGCAGCAAATATGTCGAAGCTGAAGCTGCGGCCGAGATATTATACGAAGACCACTCGTGTCATCCAGAAAAAATTGAAGGATGGACAGGTATATTTTTTTTGAAGATTTCCAAAAAAACATAAACATAGCGGTTCGAATCTGTTGAAACGGTTTAAGTTTATAGCACTGTATCCACATTTAGGGAAACAAAAAAAAAGTTTTCGCTAACTCTTAAAAGTCCTGAGTACAAGTTGACGTACTACAAATAAGTGAAATAATCTGATGTAATCTACTCAACGTTGAGTTTTTAGAAGCTGGACTGATACCGAAAATGGCAGTTACATGGATGAGGGAAAGCGTTTCAAATTGTCTTCTCAAAAGTGCACATGAAGGAAAGCTTGTCAAGTTTACTGTCACCAAGGATTTACCTACAATCGGTCCGCGTTTGAAGACAAGGTAATTCTCCATTAATTTGGAAAAAATATGTCTCTTGCACAAACTCAGTCAGCTGACCATTTACGGAAAGTACCATATTCTTGGTGCTTGCATATAATACTGTTGTGCCAAAAATTTCTCAAATTCGTACAAATATGTAAAGACCTAGATCTGATCTTACCGCTAACCTTTTTCATTTTCTAATCCATTTAGAATCTTACCAAGAAAACTAAGTTTTCAGCTATTAATTACACACTTGCCGTCCAAATTTTATGCAATTCCAAACCAAAGTCCTGAAAAATCAGCAGGCCATCGTCAAAAAAGGGAATTTTAGTAAAACAAGATAATGTATTCCATGAGTTCTATCAAGGGTTCTGTGAATAGAGAAAAGGATTTCCACTGTGTTTAGCAACTGATAAAGTGTATTTGCTAACTGATGATTTTTTTAGCTGTTCGATTTTCTCTATCTGCATCGGCCGATTTTTCAAGAAACTCCGAACGGATTATCCGGACCAATTTGTTGAACTGCACTTCCACACATACGAAACTCCTTTTGTACAAATGCAAGATGATGATGTAAAAATCAACGTCACTTTTGCTGTGGACTTCTACATCAATCCGATGAAGCAACATCTCAAGCCTTTGGCTAGACTAAGTGAGCAGCATTTTTTTTCAATTTTTCAAAGAGATGCTGCTCTTTTTCAGTACTTTCGTCATCATCCACAGTAATCCCAGAGATTATTCGAAACAAATTCTCTGGTAATTTGACTGAAACTACTGACGATATTCGAGAAGATTTTTCTGACATTGGTGAAATTCCTGAAACGTAAGTATTACATTGCAAAAATTGTTTTTTTCTTACTTCGTGGTTATAGGTTTTTGAACCTTTTCAAGAAGTTGTTCACAATGACAAGTCGAGTCATCGTCGAGTCCATATTGCATAAAGGAGTTCCAATCCCAGTATTTGACAATGTAACGATATCAGGTCAGTTATGTATACTATGCACTTGAGCCAGTGCCAATGCAGTACGATTAGTATGATTATAAAGCTTTAGAAGGATGGAAATTAGATCTTTTTTCAAGAGTTTACAACTCGTGTATGCGCCATTTTATATATTCAAGTTAATTTTAGATCTTTTCAGGATCATCCGAGATTCGTGTTTTCAACAAGTATATCCGTTTAAATGCTGATTTTGAGTTTGAATAAACAATTTTTCATTGTGTGTGCACAGCATCATACAGCCGAGTAGATTTTCCGTTTAATATAGTGTGCTTGCACTGAAAATGTGCAGCAAGATTCGCTCGTGAACACGTAGCCACGCTAGTAATGCCAACATTTTGCGCGCGCCAATGGCCGGCGTCACAGGCGTAGCTATTTTTTTACGCGCAAATTTTACCGCATTTCATCTTCAGTGCAAGCACACTATATTAAGCGAAAAGTCTACTCGACTGTATTTAATTAACCAAACTGCGTCTCTGATCTGATAAAGTTGAGCTTCTTTCCTGGAAAATTTCTCGGAAGTTTTTTTGTTTTGAGATTGTTTTCTTGCAGAGAAATTGCCAAATCTAGCCAAAACTTGCGACATAATAATTTTTGACGTTTCCCCAAATGCGTGAGCCAAAATAAATTCACGGACACAGGACCTGGCACGCTGGCACGGACGGGGCAAGCTGGATATCGTTTTTGGGGCAAAAAGCAAAGCGGATATCGTTTTTGCGTCGGAAAAGACGGAAAATTGCGACGTTTTTTTAGTCGACGTTTCGTTTCTTGAGTGTTTTTTTTACGTTGAGGGTATAGGGTCAAAGGGAGATTCGCAAAACTTAGCGAAAATCAAGGGGGAGGTTTTGAAAATTCCTCTGTGCCAATTCATGCCAAGCCCTGCATGGACATCGCTCAAAATTGATCTACTTATGATGCTTTTCAAGATGCTGATTACGAATACTGCGTTCATCTGGCAGGTAAGCTGTCTTGTGGAGGTTACGGCAGGTATATAGTGGTTGGGCAAAGTGCGATTCTGAAGTCAGTAGACTTAGTTGAGTGGTGATTCGTCGTTTTTGTAGATGTACAGATCCCAGTCTCCTTATAAAAAGGTACCATAACCATTACTTGATAATTCGCCATCAGCCGCCAACTAAAGGGCCGGGCATACTTCACAGTTGCGATTGCGATTTCATTCGTGATGCGATTTGGCAATATTCCAACCGTCCATAACTTACTGTAAGCCCATTTTGAATGTAAATAAGGTAGTGCATTTCATCAATCCACTTAAGTTCTATACACTATGCATGTGCAGTTTGCGAGTGTTGGATCTGAAGACTTCTGGCGAATTGCCAAATCGCGTCGCGACTGAAGTCGCGTGAAGTATGCCCGACCCTTAAGTCAACCATGCAAAATTAACTCTTTGTCTCCAGCACTTTAACAACTTCTCATGAGATGCTTCTGAGAACTAATTATCAAAAGTTATCACTTCGTTTATATGCCTGGCTACCTTCTTCTTCTTTATCTTCGCCATTGTCCCGCGGGTGCAGGGTCGGCGGTGGTGCATTTTTGCTTCCATTTGACTCGATCAGCTGCTTCTTGTGGTTTGAGCTTTGCAATGTGCAGGTCGTTTCGAATGGTGTCCAACCAGCGTTGCTTCGGACGGCCACGTGGTCTCTTCCCCTGTGGATCTAGACGAAGTGCTGTTTTTGCTACTGTATTATCTTCACTTCGTAAAACGTGACCATACCATCTTAATCTGGCACCTCGCATCTTATCCGCGATAGGTGCAACTCCGAAAATGTGTCGTACATCATCGTTCGTGACGCAGTTTCTTCTCGTTAGGCCCAGTATCCATCTTATCATTCGCGTCTCCATCGTGCTCAGGATCTGCTCGTGTTTTCTGGTTGCTGGCCAACATTCGGCTCCATACAGTGCGACTGGCCTCACCACAGTCCGATACACTTTCGACTTGAGATACAACGGGATTCGTCGGTCGCAGAGTACTCCTGTTACTTGCCTCCATTTCAGCCACGCCGCGTTCGTCCTAGCACGAGCATCAGTGATCGTGTCGCAATCTGACGTCACTCGGGAGCCCAGGTATGAATATCGTGACCTTCTTCAGCGGCTGCCCATCGATGCTAATTGTGCCATCGGTTTGCTCTCCGCATTCCAGGTACTCGGTCTTTGCTACGTTCAGTCGTAGGCCATACTCCGCTAATCGTGTCTTCCATCTCACAGTCGCCTCTTCAAGCTCTTGTCTCGATCCGCTTGCTAGCTCGACGTCGTCTGCGTAAAGGAGCGTCCACGGATGCGGCAGCTGGATGTCCTTGGTCACCGTGTCCATGCACAGTATAAAGAGAAGCGGTGATAGAGCCGATCCTTGGTGTACTCCGACTTGGATTGGGAATGGCGTTGACGTTCCCACTGCACAGCGTATGGCGCCCGTCGTGTTCGTATAGAGGAGTTTGATCCAGCGAACGTACTCCTCTGGGACGTCGTGTTTCCTCAGCGCATACCAGATCAGCCCGTGCGGTATCCGATCAAATGCCTTTTCTAAATCCAGGAATGCAAAATGAATCGGAATCCGTTTCTCCAAATGCCTTTCCATTAGCAATCGTACCGCGTGGATGGCGTTGATGGTGCCAGATCCTTTTACAAAGCCACATTGATTCGGGGTGACCTCCACTATACTTCGAATGCGTGCGTCGATGACTCGTTCGAAGATCTTCATCGTGTGGCATAGCAAGCGTATTGGTCGATATGTTGAACAGTCGCTGACGTCGCCCTTTTCCTTCCAGATAGGGACTGTGACACTCGTAGTCCAGATTCGCGGCAACTGTCCGTCTACGATAATGCGGTTAAAGAGCGATGTGAGATATGCCGCTCCACGCTGCCCCATCATCTTCCACACTTCAGCAGGTATGTCGTCGGGTCCCGGAGCTTTTCCGCTGATCATCTTCCTCAGTGCCTGCACAACTTCTGCCTCCTCGATCCGGGATACCGGTCCATATGTGGGGGCTCCTTGCGGTATTAACGGGTGCGGGAACTCCTCATTAAATAGCCCTTTGTAGTATTCACTCCACCGCTTGAGTATTGCCCTCGGCTTCGTCAGGAGGTTGCCCTCTGCGTCCTTAATGTGCATGACGTGGTCGATGTCCTGCTTCGCTCGATGTCGTGCCGCGGCCAGCCGGAAGACCTTGTTCGCTCCAGCAGGTCCTTCCAGCTCGTCGTTAAGTCTCTTGTAGTGAGCTTCCTTTGCTTCGGCTACCGCGTGCTTCGCCTTCGAGTTCTGCTCTCGATACCGACGGAGGTCTTCATTCGAGCGTGAGCGTTGCCAGGCTTTGAAAGCTTCTTTCTTCTCCTTGATCACTTGCTGGACTGACTCAGACCACCACCAGATCTGCTTGTCTACAAACCGGCGTCCTGGCTTGGTGGTTCCCAAGATTGTCTCGGCCCTCGACCGTATCTGCGAAGTAATCCGATTCCACTGCTCTTCAATCGACTCCTTATCATCCGTCGACACCCTCAAATCGTTAAGAGCATCTCTGACTTGCTGGCGGTGTTCGGGGAGCTTCCACCATTTGATCCTCTTTGTAGTCGTCCTTCTGGCTCGTGACCGCAAGTGGATGTTCAGTCGAAGATCCAATACAAGCAACCGGTGTTGTGGCGCAAATGCATGTGTCGTCGTGG